CTGTGCAAGTTGCTCTGTGCAAGTTGCTCCGCGCAAGTTGCTCCGTGCGAGTTGGTCCCTGCAAGTGGCTCCCTGCAAGTTGCTCTGTGCAAATTACTCCGTGCAAGTTGCTCCCTGCAAGTTGCTCTGTGCAAGCTGCTCTGTGCAAGTTGCTCTTTGCAAGCCGCTCTGCGTGGCAAGGCGCTCTGCGCAAACTGGTCTGTGCAAGTTGCTCTGCACAAGTTGAAATGGTCTGTGCAACTTGCTCTGCGCAAGTTGCTTTATGCAAGTTGCTCTGCGCAGCTTGGGAAGCCCGCCCGCGGACCAGGGCGGAATCGAACCCGTGACCCGCCGGTCCCGGGAGCAGACGCGCGAACCACGAGACAACTCCCGAGGACCAGTTCGAGCTGATCCCTGCAGAGCGTCGCGCGAGCCAAAACAATATCGCAAAACACTGCAGGTTTTTGCGCGGGCCAAAACAAAATCGCAAAAAACCACGAGTTTTTGCACCTCGACCACGCCAATCCCCGCAAAGGGTCGATTTTCGTAGAGTGTCGTCGGCACCACCCCGCCGCCCTAAGAAGAGACCGGGTCGAGATTTAGTTTGGGATTTTATGTTTTTTTTTTTTGGTCTTCCGTCCTGGCTACTAATTACAGCATTTTGTCACGAAATGTACGTATTTCAGCGTCCGTCAACATCATCAGCATCGTTTTCAACATCCCCCGCATGCCCAGCCAACATCGCCAGCATCACCAGCAAATTGGCTTCCCGCATCTCATGGTAAAAGTGAGGATTCAATTAAAGGCGGTCCCCCTTGAAGGGGGCGGCAGCCCCCCCATGATGATCGAAAAATTAGGGCAAAGAATCTAAGAAGTAACGGTCGCATGATGATCGAAAAAGTGATGATTCAATTAGGGGCAAAAAGTCCAAAAATAGCGGGGGGGTTGGGGGGGGCGCCAGCCCCCCCCATGATGATTGAAAAAGTGATGATTCAATTAAAGGCGCGGGGGGGTTGGGGCGGGCGGCAGCCCCCCCATGATGATCGAAAAAGTGATGATTCAATCAGGGGCAAAAAGTCTAAAAAATAGCGGGGGGGTTGGGGGGGGGCGGCAGCCCCACCACGATGATTGAAAAAGTGATGATTCAATGAGGGCCAAAAAAATATAAAAAAGCAGCGGGGGGGCATCAGTGCCTCTGTGCCAAGGCCTCATGGTACAAGTGAGGGTTCAAATACGGGCAAACTAATCCCTGCAGATCGAAAAAGTGATGATTCAATCAGGGGGCAAAAAGTCTAAAAAATAGCGGGGGGGTTGGGGGGGGCGGCAGCCCCCCCAATGATGATCGAACAAAGGCTCTTTCCAACAAGAAAGTAGTCTTTCTGCAGGGGTCTGTGCACTTCCACGTTGGCTAACCTGCTTTAGGCTAAACGGAAAAGCCATTTGTTTCCAACAGGTCTACCGGGTCGTCACACCAAAGATCAGCCATGTTGTGTCTTGAATTCTTGGGCCACAACCAACCCAGAGTCCAACCGGACTCAACTGTAAATGCGGGGCGCTTCCAAGTTGTCTCCTTTGATTCGCTTTCTCCGGGAATGGACCGACACAATTCCAACTGTCTTGCGATGTACCTTGCAGTATGTGTGGGCATAAGGGGATATCCGCCAAAACAAGAAAGTCTAGGAAAACACAACTTGGCATTTGAGCGAAGAGGGGTAAGTATATCACCTACCAAAACACTCCTATCTGAATTCACTACTTCTGGACCGCAACAGCAACAACGGGTTGATAATCTTTAGTTTGACTTAGTGAGGATCTCACAAGTCAAGGAAAAGTCTCCCCTCCAATTCAATCATTCCAATGCCTGAACTGAGGGGTTGGTCTCGGGATGGGAAAGGACCCAGTTTCATCGTGAGCGCGGTGAGCTTGAAGCTAAAGACTTGCGCGAGCTCCAACCCCTACGCGCCTGCGGGGAGGAAGACCGGGATCTTGCTCCCCAGACCTTCGAGATGTGAAATTGGGCGTCATTTTTGGGAGTTGGCAGTGCAAACCAAGAAAGACAGCTAAGTTGGCACCCTTTTTGGAGGGAACCTAAGGAAACTACCCCAAAACGGGGGGTCCCCCTATTTTGAGGTTTTGAGACATCATCAAACCAAGGACGAGCCATGATGCGTGGTTCGTTGCTCCCACGATAAAGGTGTCGTTCCTCCCGAACTGAACCAATCCGTGTGGCTGGGATCCCCGGCTTGGGGAATCGTAGAACTATATGGCTGTCCGTCAAAACCGAAGGGATCCCATTTTGGGGTAGATGAATTCACCACCCATTTTAGAACCTATTTTAGTGGGGATTGGGATGTTCACTGGGGGATAACCGGGGTTTTGACCCATGTCCATATCCCTCTGTGCATGGATTGAAAGGGTAAAGCTTGCGTGGTTGAGTGTCCTCAAGGAAGCGCCAAGGGCTCACAAAAAGCAAACCATGTCCCGCAATTGGACACGCATGCTCCAGGTTTGACACAATTTTGGAGAGGTGCCCATTGGCACCGGCGTTGGGTGAGGGTTGAACATCTCCATTTGTGCGGGGTCTTTTTTGGGGACTCAACCTGGTGGGTGCTGATCCAAAAGGGCAACAATCAACAAGGGGATTACAGCATTCAGCAGCTGAGTTTCTACCACCATGCATCACCCGAATCCAATAATAATGAACAATAACAATAATACTACTACCTGGAGGACACTTTGATACAGGACAAAGTGCTCCGGACTGTTTTTGGCATTGGAGCGTTATTTTCTGCTCAAATCCAATTCGAGCACTTTTTGGGGCTTTGGCGAAGTGCTCGAGAGAAACCGACCCCGCAGCTCGAGCGCAATTCCAACAGCGTGCAAAGCCAAAGCTCTGCCCAGCAATCCGTGTGTTTGCATATAGTTTGCAATTACCATTACTCGCGCGCTTGTTTGCCACAAAAGCTCGAGCAAACATCATCATCATCATCATCATCATCATCATCATCATCATCATCATCATCACCATCATCATCATCACCATCATCATCCACGTATGAATGACTTCAAACCAAAGTTGTGGGGTCCCCTCTACTAGCTATTGGCCATATCAAAATGCAGTAGCTGCTGGATTTAGTTGTTGTCCACAAGCTGGAGCACGTCTGGCAGGTCCTGCTGTATACCCAGAAAGTGAGGCGAAAGGCTCAAATGTTACATCAAGCCAGCTTATCCAGTCGAGGATTGACAGTCCTCAGACACTGCAGCACATTGTCTGAGCTTGGAGAGCTGATGGGGAGCCAAAGCATTTACTACTGACATTATAACATGATGTAGTGTCTGATGCTTCAAGGATATATCCAAAGACCACCCACTTTACAAGGAGATCCTCCAAATCAGATGGCAAGGTGATTTGGCTGGCAAACACATCCCTGTGAGTTGGGACCCGCTTGGCATACCTCCAAAAGGATTATCCACACTTTCAGCGGAACAAGCCAACATACATGTCCCCATTAAGGAGGTCTCCTCCCGTCCACCTTGGCACCTGACTGGGAGGGTCTGGTTTGCCAATTTCCGAGCGTTTCTTGTGGTGGGAGCCTCATGGGCTCTCAGGCTCTCAGCGCCCTGCAGTTTGGATGCCGTCCGACCTCATGGCCCGAGGTCCAGGGGCCGAGTCTGGAAATTGAACCTTGAAGGATGGAGGGCCCTGGAATCATGGCACACATTTCAGGTACCCTACAACCTGCGGGGGGAACAAAAGGGCTGTTCTATGCTGGGGGCTCCTTTGCCATGTTCCCGCTGTGTCCCTTCCCCAAAGGTTGTCAAGCAACTGCCCCCCCCTCCAACAAAAACAACAACGACAACTCTGGATTTCCCCAAGGTCTATGACGACAGTGAGCTCACCTCAAACATTTGAGGTCCGTGCCCATTTTACATGCGTTAAAACAAAAAAATGCGAGTGGGTCTCTTTTGGAGTTGGCACCCCTTTTTAGCTGGCTTCAAAGGGACGCCACAGCTCGAGCCACCCACGTGTGCCGTGAATTTACGGGGCTAAGCTTTGGGCATGGCACCCGAGGAGACGTACCTCACCTGGCGGAAGAAATGTCTGGCGCTTGGGACATCCTGGAAACCGGATAGGGCCAGTTGTGTGCATCATGCGTGCGGTTTGTTGTATGTTTGTTTAGCTTTTCGTTCGGGGGGTAAAGGGACGCCTGTTTTGACTTGTTCACTTGTGGTAAAGAAACCTTTCGGAGTATCTGTCCCTTGTTCACTGTCAACCCACAGACTCTTTGGTAGCTCACTCTTTGATGAGAGATACCGTACGTCACGCAAAACGGAGCCTGCAATGCGTGAGCATGACCTCTGACAGGAATCTGAGGAATCTGACTCCAAGGGGCCCCATGCTGGTCCCAGCAAGAAAGCTTTACACGTCCTTTTCAAACCACACAAATCGGGTTCTGCAGCAAGTTGATTGGCAACGCTCCATTTTCCGAAATGACACAATACAAAAGGGCAGATCACAACTGAGGATTCTATTTTGACTTACAAACAATACCGTGTCTAAGCCTCACTCGTTTTGCCTCTCTGCCCAATGGCCACAAGTACGCACAATCACTTCAGCAAACTCAACCGGGACAAGAAGGAACCAACCTCGGCGCTTGCCCCAAACAGAATATGCGGTAAACCTTACGATACAACATCATAGCAACAAAACACCAGAGGCTAAGGGAAAACTGAGTGGTTCGTGGATCCCTTGCCAAAACTTGAACTTTTAGTGGGATATGTCATAATCCCCTCTAAACTCCAAAACTCAAAAAGTGTAAGACACCGTATATGGCTCGGAACCGTCAGGAATAGAAGCTCTTGCCAGTGCAACTGACGTGCCTGCGGCGGGCTGTGGTGCCTGCAGCGGGCTCGAGAATCTTCTGTAGGAACATCCTTTTTCTGAATGACTTGCCAATTGCCCCCAACCGCCACGCGGGAAGGGACAGAGGGGCACGTAATATATGCATATATGCATATTCGCACAATTCAGTGTCAATTCAATGGTTCCATTTCCTTGCGAACCACAGCAAGCAGCGGATATCCTGCATTGCTCGAAACATGCCCACATGGACCAATCTGTATCCCAGTTGCGTGACCTGACAAGTAGAAACAGACTTGAAACTGCTCTTGGGCTCACGTTCCAGTGGGGACCCGGTGGCGTGCTTGGGATCTGAGTTCCCACCTGCTTCAAAACCAGAATTCTCATACCAGGAAACGTCGTGGGAGGCCTCAGCCATACGGCCTTTCAGCTTTGAAAGTCTTACCAAGGCGTCAGCGACTGAGGCTGTTGGACGGGGGGCGGGGCGGCACCTGGTACTAGTGAAAACGGATATGCTGGGTATTACACAAAGTGATCTGAAACTCAACTTGCCACAAGCCGTGATGTTGTCCAGAATGGCGGCCTCTCTTTGGTTCCAATGGAGGATGTTTTTTCCACCGCAGCTTGGCCCTCTTCGGTGGGGGCAAAAAATAAGATTCAGCCAACAGTACACAAAGACATCCATGAAAGGAGCATTCTTCATCGGTTTCCGGTCGCACCCCGCGATAGGTGAGGTCGCCATTTCATCAGAGCTGTTATCCCCAAGAGCAACAAGCCTTGCGCCCTGCCGAAAACCCCTTGAGAGTTGCTCCGAAGAGCCAGTTTAGGCCCGACAACCCTGAAGGCTCCCAAACACTGGCCATAAGGAAACAAAAGGAATCGGCGGCCCCTTTTTCGGGGTAGTTGACTTTCAAGGAAAACACCTCAACCAAACAAAATGAAGGAAAGCCACTAAAACCCAGGGAGGTCTGCTTCGCCTCAAGGGCGGGCTGGCAGCGCGGGGCCATCCCGACATCCCTCCGGCGCTAACCTCAAACGGAGATCAAAGAGGCCTCGCGGAGGGTTTCTAGTCTATGGGCCAGATGTCGGTAGTTCATGTGTTTGGCAGGAGGTTGAAATGGGAGGTTGAAATGGGAGTCAGCACCCACTTCGGTCACCCTTGAGATGAAGTTCTGATTTTGGACCATGTGGGTGTATTTGTTTGAGGACCAATTTCCCATGTCCTCTTGGAACCAGTAAGTTCATCCACATCTTCTTGAGGAAATTTGTGTTTGGGGGACTCCTCTTGGAACTAGAAAGTTCCACAACATCTTGAGCAAATCAATTGGTTGTTGCGGGACGTTGGGCAAGCCAGGGGTTAATTTGTTTGACCCGTGTCAGCGGGTAAAACACATCTTGTCTGCTACTCATATTAGAGACACAGCCATTGCCATTGTGCCCCCACGGTAATCTTGGGGAGTGCAACACACATCATCCCCAACCTGAACTTGCTGTCCGGTGAGTCCTGTTCCTTATTGTGTTTGTTAGGGGCAAACTAGACAAATTCGTGAACTAAGTCAGAATAGTATTGTACGCTTCTCGGATGTGGGCAAAGATATAAATTTCCCGTTATTTTGTTGTCTAGATGCCATTCGTTTTACACGTTCTTTTGAGAAATCTCCGCGATTGTCTGCGTGCTTTTTGTTTTGTGTGCAGAACTTAGGCTGTTCCCCTCCCCTTCGTCTTAACCAAGGCATCAGTCGACTACCAATATACTACTTTGTCAGCGCCTCACACGGGTGTGATTCCAAATCTGGCACCTCCCTGTTTAACCTCCTGCCAAACACATGAACCGACATCGGGCCTCGAAAGGGACATTGTCCAAGCCATGAACTCAAACAGAACTTCATCGGAAGGGTGACCCAAGTGGATGCCGACTTGGATGGTTCACCCATTTAGCCAGGATATGACGGTTCTATGTCCACCTACCCGTAGCTGCCCCATTCACAACTACCATGGTTATAGCCTCAACTTTATGGGCCCCTTTCGGTACCTAAGGTACCAAGGATCCTTGTCACACCTCGATAAGCTCAGACAGCAAGAATCACTTGTATGAGTTCTTTCCATACTTGTCCCAGCTCCCATTAACCCCTGACTAACCCAAAGGACTGCACTTTTCCAAGCTTCCACGCCCTTCTCCGAACAAGAGACTTAACCCCTTGGCACCCTTTCAACTTTCAACCGCCTTCAGATGTTCTTGGCCCAAACTCACCGTTTCACGGCGCAAGCATCAAGGGACCCCCCGGCAACCTGTTTCTACTAACGGGAATGAAGGAGAGCCAGAAAGGTGAAAAACAAAAGCTAGGCCTGGCAATGCTTCTTAGACAGTCGCAGGAAAAGAAGCAGGAACAACAACACATGTCTTCGAGGACTCTTCACCAAGAAACAAAGGCCTATATAATTGGATTGTCAGCATTCATCTAGGTCCCAGTAGCGAGGTAAGAATACGGGTACCTTTTTTTTTTTCTGTAGTCTATTTTAGTAGGGGAACCCTCCCCAAAAAAAGGGTAAAAGGGCACTACTGGGGGATCTAGTCAACCTCAGGATTGGGGATTCTATCATGTTGGTCAGTGGCAAAGATAAAACATGTGGCAAGTTCGCTGCGTCTCAACCTATGCTGGATGCTTTGGGACAAAATCTGAAGAAGGTGGGGGGCACAACCCCCAAGGCTTTGAACACTGATTCCCGCAGGTTCAGGGCGGGGAGCAAGGTGCCTGTTTTTGCCTTGTGAGCTTTGGGCCTTCACAAAGATACACACACACACATTGTCAATCAGTCTTGCAGGGAGCAAAAGTGCAGGAGGTAGATTCGATCATCACAAGCCAACTACAGGAGCAATCAGGGTTTCCGGGGCACAGGGCCTTCCGGCGTAGGTTACGGGCACCCTTGTGACTAAGCCTTGGGCTAAAGGGAAGCACTCCCAAGTTGCTGACTTGACCTCAAAAAGCAGAGGTGTCACGTCCCTGGAAGGAGAGGAAAGCTTCTTCCTTCCGCGTGCTGGACTCTGGGCAGCGGTGCTACCACCATCGGCTGGCCCAGCGGGCCTCACAGCTGCACTGGCGGAAAGCCTAAGCCCACCGATGTACCAAGAAGAGTTTCTCAAAATGAAGCTCTTGGTTGGAAACCAAAGGGAAACCAAAGGGAAAACCAAAGGAAAGCCAAAGGAAAACCAAAGGAAACGAAGGAAACCCAAAGGGAAACCAGAGGAAAACAAAAGAAAAACCAAAGGGACACAACATGTCTCAGTTGTTGGGAAACCAAAGGGAAACATTTTAACAACTTTTTTTTTGAATCCCCTACGTCTTACAACAAAAACCGATGTAGACTGCGTCGTTCGCAATGAGGGATGAGGGCTGGCTGCTCACTATGGTGGCTTGCGTTAGTGCCTAACTGCAAAATGTCTAGTCTAAGAACAAATGAGGCGCAAACTTGTGTATCTGAAATCCCCTTCACCATACTTTCCCTGCAGATCCCTAAAATCGTGAACGGGTAGCAGTTAAGTTCCTGTGCTATGCACGACTTCGGGGATTTGTCGATCATGCCCGGAGTATCGTTGGGAACCCTTACACTGCTTTCTCGATCCCAGCTGACATTTGATTCTGCATGGGGAACAAGGCTGCAGGATACTGCCTGTGACATCACAGGGGAATCTCAAAACCCTTCTTTGGAACTGCTCATATTCCGGGAAGCCCAAATCCCACAACCCTGCGAGAGTGATCTCAAGGTCCGTTTCCGTCGTAATGTGCGAGTGGATTCCGCCTGAGTCATCTGAGTCATCACCTTAGATGGTTGTTATCCAAATGGGATATGGAAGCGCGAATTCGGTTTCGGTTCTTGGCCCAAGAAGTGGTTCCCTCGAAGACAAGAAAGTTGCACCCGGCTGTGAATCCACCAGATTCATTTGATCAATCCCAGGTTGACAGAAAACTGAAAATCAAAAGGCTGTCAAAACCTTTCTTTGTACCTTGGTTAACGGTAAAACTGGACAGCCATGATGACCGCGCGCTTTTCTGGCTGCATGGAAACCACCCGTTTGCTCCTTTGCGACCCGCTGTGAAGGCGGTACAATAGATAGCCCCCGCTTTGCGATGCGTCCAACCGCAACTTCCATTTGCTTACGTCGCTTGGGAAAAATATTCCAGTAGTGATAGATTCCTTTTAAAACCAACAGGGGAAAAAACAAAAACAAAAACATAGTCTAAACCAATCGGAAGACAAGAATCAGCCGATTTTCGTGTTTTCCTTTGTCGCCGGCAACTGGCCTGTGGAAAACGGCGCCGGCCGCATGGTCCTGAGCGCGGTCGGATGGCCAAGTGACGTCCACAAGGAGCAGAACCAAGAGACTCTATGGACAAAACCAAAAAGAACAATCGGAACCAGGCAAAACCAGGAAAGCATAATATGAGGGACCAAGCCATTGGCTAAAACGTGGCTATGATCATGAATCTGTGGTTTTAGGACCACCCAATCCAATTGTTAAGGGTCCTTACCTCAGACCTTCGTGGGTTTTGAGAAACATCGTATTAAGTATTCCTTGTTTTAGTTTTCTTGGTGTCTAAGGTCCAATGAAGAATCAGCCAAAGCCCTGATGTTCCAGGGTCCTCGATGAAGGCTTCTAGCGTGTCTTTAAGATACGCCAGTGCAGGTGTTAACCTCGTACTGCTTAATGGTTGCGGAACCGTCAAATCCAGGATATGGTAACCATAAAGCATGTCTTTGCAGCCCCCCCCAACAATGAACTGAACCAAAAGACTGGGCAACCACAAGACACACAAAGCACAATCAACTGCTTTGGAAAGGGTGTCCAATGGCCGCAACGAATGCGCTGAGTCTGCGTCAAGACAACCATCCGAGACCCTGTGAATGCCAAGTCAAGTCACAATCAAGCCCCGCTACAAAAAGGAGCCTACCCAACGTGCAAAGATTGAGGGCGGCTCGTTTATTTTTGGTTCGGACGGTATTTGCTAGCCTCGGAAGACGAAGCGCGACCAAACCTGATATTGTCTCAACGTGGAACGCCAAAACAAATAGAAGAAATCATATATAATGTTAACACCCGACTAATCATGGGTCAGTCAATAATGCAAAGTATATTTCCTTATTATGGTTCGCCCCCATTGTTGATGGGGACCAGAATGATTGAAAGTTGTTTTGCCCGAGGGGCAAATTCCAAAACATATCATGCCCAAACCTGAAACCTCTGAAAATTGAACACCATCCCCAGCCCTGAAACCCTGTCAAAAATGCACAAAACAATCAGGACAAGGGTACCCCTCACAGACCCCACTGAACCACAACAATGGCATTGCTTGGCCCACATTAGTCTGCAAGCCCCCAGCCCCCCCTCCCAGAAAATAAACTATCAGTTGCTTTACTCAATAGCATTCCCCTTTCAATTGGTGGCCCACTTGCTTAAAAGGTGGCTCAAGCTGGCCCAACCTGGTTTCTTTCTAGCTCAAGCCCTCCCTGGCTGAAAGGCACACCCTTTGAATGGCTACAGAAAGAACTGAAAGAGAAGTGACTGCAATACTAAAGTAGTACTCCAAAAAGTATGCTCAGGAAGAAGTGGTTGCAATAATAAAGTAGTATTCCAAAAAGTCTGCTCAGGAAGAAGTGGTTGCAATACTAAAGTAGAACTGCAAAAAGGAAGTGGCTGCAATACTAAAGTAGAATTGGGCCCCAAAATCCTCCATTGTTTGGACGTCCCAAAAGTGAGCCTACAGAGTTTTAGCGCCTCCATTTGTGAGGGGGGGGGGCCTTTATTAATCAAGTGCCAACATTGCTTTTGCAAGGCACTTCTGTTTTGCCGCCCTGTTTAAAGGGTGCCGACAAATTCCTCATTGAACGTTTGCCTTTTCTCCTTAGAGGCATTCGCCAATCGTTTCCCGAGATGTTCAGTCAGCGCACAAAGAAATGAACCAAGCATGGTTTTAGGATGCCCAACCCTGGCAAAGGTATTTTGGCGTTCCACTCCCACGTGTCTTCGGATGCGATTGCATGACATCTGCCGTCAAAACTGGGCGCTTCGTGGTGCTAGCGGCCTCAGGCTCTGGCAAGGAGGTCACATGAGCCGACGCCCGGACTGCCAAGAAATCTCACTCACGTAAATAGTCCAAATAGTGCAAGTGGCCTGCATCCGGACTTTCTTTTTTAAACATCATGAACCATCTGATCACGAGCATTCTTGCTGATGGGCTGATGGGCTGATGGGAAACCTCAATTTTTGCTCCTTTGCTGATAGGTAAGTGGGTGAATGGTCATTCCTCGCCGCTTTTGCTCGGCCCCAAACCAGCCATGGCTTGTGCAATATGTCTCGATTCCTCTGGTGAGTGCCGGCAAGGCGTCCCATGCCTGGGAGCCACGGCGCCACGGGGAACGCTTGGGAAAACTCGGTATTCCTTTTACGGTCGCTAAAACTGTGCTTTTGTTGGTGTTTCCTGATGTTGCTTGCCTGCGAAATCCCCCACAAAAAGGCAGATTGCAGGAACTCAGGGAGTGAGGAAGTGAGTCTTGCAATCTGCCACAGCTTGCCCACAGATGACGGAAAGTGAGCCCAATCGATCTAACACGAAACTCAAATATACGAAAAAACAAACCAGCTGAACACTCGGAAACCAATAGGGGGTCACCCAAAACCGATACTTGTACCATGAAAGCGAGTTGCGTGTGACAGCCGACTGCCTCTCACCTGTTGACATTGATTGCTGCAGCGCGTTTTTCGAGATCCACGCACTGCCGCTACTCGAAGCATATGTACATGTCAGGTCTCTGAGAGGGATCTAGCCAGCCCTGACACGAATCTTGGAAGCAAGCAGAGTCCATGAGTTCATGCCAAAACCCAGATTTGAGCAGTGTCCAAAACCCATTGACTATTTTGTTTATCTCCAAGATGGGTATCAAGGTTTTACAGGCTTGACCCACAACTGGAACCCACGAACATGCGGCGATTTGAACCAAACCCGGAAGCTACAGCCCAGGAGAAATTATTCCCGGAAAGGAATCCAAGTAGCGTATCGGGTTGACTCGCGCGCCCCAAAGTGAGCTCGTATGCCCAAAACGGATCTCTAGAATTTGTGGTTTCTTGAGGATACTTTGATGGATTAAAGTGAAACTACAGGAGCACCTTCCCCCTTCAAAATCCGAAATCCTACTTTGACATAGGCTTTGGATCTCCTCCCCGATCCTAAGGATTTCCGCTCACCGCGCTACGCAAATGTTGCTGGTGAGTCCTTCAGTGCTGGAGCAGACCTCGCCGCGGAGCCACCGAAAGCCTTTCCTACCCTCCGTGGGGTTGAAAGATGGTCCTTGGACACCCCGCTTCACGGATGCAGATTTTTCATGAAGCCAACTTCCAAGACAGCCCAAAAAAGGGCGCAACTCCAACAAAAAGGAGCTACACCACATTTAGGTATGTGTAAAAGGGGCACCAAAAAGGTGGTTTCTATTTGGCTTGCCTTTAAGTAAGCCAAGGTGGAAAGGCACCAACTAAAACCCCGGCAACAAGACAACAACAAACAAATTAATGCCCAGCGCCCACGCGGTTTCCAAAACAAACAGCACCCTATACAGCGAGTACTTGTGATGCTGAAGAATCAAAAGGCCAGATATCCGCACCTCTTTCAGGCTGAGGCCCCTGCTGTCCTTCATCTGCGTTTCTCCCCGAGAACGAATTGCAGGGTTACATGCAGGGTTGCCAAGGGCTTAGATCCATTTTAATCCAGGTGGCGTTTTTTTGAATACCACCCCTGGCCTGGGTTGAGTCTGCTTTGAAACGGTTTTCAATGGAAGACTTGTGTGGCCATGCCTGGTGGATCGAGTCAACTGTCACTGGTGCTCGAATGGAGACACATCCCCTTGCAGCTTGAATCCCCCTAGTGAGGTAACTGGGGTCCTTGGCAGCCGTGGGACACAGGGAGTTGGCGCGCACGTGTGAGGTGAAGACACGGTGTGAGGTGAAGCACTGACTCATGTTCTTTGCATCCAATGGCCAACTGGTGCTAGCTCAATTTACGTTTTGCCAAGGATCAGTTGACACCTGGTGTTAAATCCCAAACAAAAAACAACACCCACCCTTTGGTTCCCTGGGACAATTCACTTTTGACGGTCTATTGAGCGCCTGACATTGCGGTTCATATGAGCCATTCATGGAGGCTAGGGGAGGCACCCGGCGGGGGGGGGGGGGGGGCGAACCCAAATAAGCTCCAACTAAGGCCTTATTAGGGGTTTCATGAGGGCTTATTTGCGCTCCCTCCCCTTCCCCTCCCTCCCCCCCCAGGAACCATTCTTAAAGTTGCGCACTTCAGACATTGTGCTCTGTGATGTGTTTAGCGAGTCCGACGAGTCCCGTATTGTTTTGCAGTGGTAGCGTGCAAGGGCATCCCTTTTGTGTGAGTGCCCTATCCTTTTCCATACATGTGTAAACATGATATGTTCCTTCAAATCTGTTCAGAACTCCCCGACCTCGTGTCTGCTTCAACTCTGCGAAAGTCGAACCTTTCATTGAAGCGCCCCGTCCCCTTTCCCTGGGGGTCTGGCAATGCTTCCATAGGAGGCAATCGTAAAGCTGTTCCCGCTCATGATCGTGGTAGCACCGTCCCTCAGGCTCCGGAGCAGACGAGACTCCCCAGTTGGTTCCTAGCCTTCAACCCCCCTGCCAACAGAAAATAATGGTTGGCCCAATTTAGATGATTAAACCCACTTAAGCAAACAACGGTGGTGATATTCGCCCTCTTTGCTTTCTGCTTTTATTTACTGGTGATTGGAATCCAGGGTCGAAAGGCCGGCAGCATGGACCCCCGAGGATTTCTTCATGTTGAGGGAGTCAAAAGGTATGCACAGGCAAGCTCCACCAAAACACGGAGATACCTCTAAAGTTCCGTGCTCACCGGCAGTGCAAATTCCTGCAAACCAGCCACATTGTGTTTTGGCCGCGAGAGCGGCCTGGTCCATTGGTGGTTGGAAGAAACCATTTCGAACCAAGGCCAAGGGACAACATGTCTGTGCTCATTTGGGTATGTGTCAAAATACAAGGGACCCCACCAAAATCGGTTGGTTCCCTTTGGTTTCCCAGTACACCAACCCCAAAACACGCCGGAAAACCAGCACTTACTTGCTCCTCCCATCAAAACAACTTGTTTGAGCTCATCTCGAAATCTGGGGATCCACCTGGAAATCAAAAGAGTGGCTCTCTCAAAAACACAACACAACCATGTTCACCACACAAGCCATGGTCAAGCTTACGTGTCGGAACCTATCTGCATCCGGGCGACAGGGACAGGGTGCCCTTCAGGGTCACCCCGTCGGTACTGGAGACTATGACGTTACGCGCGCTGTCATGGTCATACCTCGGCTCGCACCCGGGGCGTGCAGGAAAAGAAGCACACAGGCAGAACCGAAAGAGCTCGGGAGGAAGCCAACAATAAGTTGTTCCAAAGGGAGTCGCCTGAGGGACCAATTTGTGGAGGCTCCTTTATGTGATTCGGGAGTCGGGGCTGAGCAGAGGTGTTACCGACGCAAGGACCCCTGGCCTTTCTCGAGTGAGATCGTAGACCAAGCAACACGTCGGAAGGATATCGTGGCCCCAGTTCAATCACGGGCATATTAGAGGGTACCCTTTAGGAGTTCAATGATGGGCATATGTCTTTGGGTACCTTTTGTCTGGTTTATTTAAAGGGAAACCAAAAGGAACACCACCCTGAATTTGACACATACCTATTTGATGGAGCTTGGATTTGCACGATCTCTGAGGTGTCAAGCATACCCAACAATCACTCCACGTCCCGATGTGGAGTGGGCCGGAACAAGTGAAACATCCCAAAAACATGGGAACGCTGCAGATGTGGGTAGCTTCAAAAAAAAGCACGCCCACGCGCTGCCACTCAAAGTCACTCAACGTGTCGCAAGTACATGGGATCCGAGTGCAAGGGACGATTCTGTGGCGGGCGCCTGGACCCTCAACCCCCTCCCCCCCCCCAAAAAAAAAAAAGAGAAAAGAAAAACAAAAACGAAACAACACATAAAGATATTGCAAGCTAAAGGATGAGGAGTGATTTCAGTTTGAGTGTCCGGGCAGTTTTGTTTTGTAGAAACCATACCTGGTGAAAGCTCATCGAACAAAGCGAAGGATCAAAGCCATTACGAACGCAAGCGTGCGAGGTCACGTCAACTTCAAACGCCTGCTGTTCCATGAGCAATGCAAATAATCCTAGTTGGATAATGAACAGGGTGTGGAAAATGTGTTGTTGCTTGATCCTTTCATTAAATACCTTTCTAGCTGTGGCTTCTTGCATGGAAACTCACAATTAATGGTCTTCCCACAACGAATTCCACGTCTCCTCTGTCCATACCGTTGTCAAGACGTTCTGTACCTCCATACGGCTTTGTCTTAAACGTAGGGAACAGAAAAGGCAGGTTTTCCTCTTGGGTTACCCTTGAAGTCGCCCAAACAAGTCCACCCGAAGTGGTCAAAACTCATTATGTGGGTCATCCCTGAAGTTGAAATGCGTAATCTCAGGGTGCAATTGCAAACGCTCTCAGATTCCTTTCATGAAATTAATGTCATAGGCAAGGGGTTCCGGTGCAAAACGATTGAGCTGCCATTTGTTTTCATGCACTTTTCGGTCCTTGACACGGCAGCAAGCGTAAACACTGTTTGCCAGGCAGTGGGGCAACAACATTTTTGTAAAATAGTTGTTTGTTGAGGAGGCACATGCACCTGAAGCCGCCACAACCTTAGAAAATGAGGTCATATACCCAAATTCAAGGGGTCCTAACCCCATGGTTTGCGGGTGGAGACTCCGGGCAAGCACATTGTGTCTGAAAGGCTGGTCTCCGTTTCACAATGGCGTGCTATTGCTTCAAGCTCCAGCCGTCCAAGTCACCGTCTGAAAGCACCGTACCTGGGCACAGAAACTGGCAGCCAGCACAAAGCACCAATAGAAAAGGAGTTCGCTGCCCAAAGTCACAAGGGAGATTTGGATATGTACACAACTATGAGCGCGTTTTATGTTTGTACCTCGTTGTCTAACCTGTAGCGGCCATGGCTACCTCAGAGTTTGCCAACCAAACAGAATGAGGTTGCCACATAAGTTCAAACAACATGCCAGCTGAAGTGGTTACACCCAGGGTTTGCCTGAAGGACCTTGCACGGCGAACACTATGCATGGACCAAAAAGGGAGGCAAGGATTTGGACTGAGGTGGGGAAGAACCAACACCATACCTTACACTCCCAACAATCAACAATCAATATGGTGGTCCAGGAAAACCACAAAGTTTTCAGACCATTCGGCTATGGACAACTCAGTAGCCGCTCGACCAAACCGAGCAAAATTACCCCCATGGAGTTGGACGCCAGCCGCATCCCTTGTTTACTCAGTTGCTCAAAGGACCAAGAAATCAAGGCTTGACCTTTGGGGCCACGACTCATGCACCAAAAAGGTCCTAACCAAAAGGTCGAAAGCTCAGCTTAGGACTCTTTGTGGGTTTCATGTCCTATGAGCGGGAATAGAAAGCAGGGCACACTGTTCTTGGTAGTTGCCTTTGAAAGGAACATCCCTGGTCAACGGGCACCGGGTGTCTGGGCTGGTAACTTACAGGGGAAGTTGACATTTAAGCCTCGGGTGCTTTCGCCACATTTACCCCCAATGTACTCTTGAACCCTTCAAGGGGCATGGTCCAAGAGCCTTGTTGGGAAATCTGACTCATTACCACTTGAATCTGAACCAGCAAAACACACACACCCATGAAACTTAAACCAGCGCTTATCCTGTGTTAATTAACCTTTGTTGCGACGTAAATCTGACATCGGGCATCTACTGCCTTCCATGTGCGCCAAGATTCAGCAAGCGATCTCAACTAAGACTTAGCTTTACCTTGTTGAGTCTTGTGTGACGTGTCTTCGAGTCTTCTGCAACAAAGATACCTAGGAGGCAAAGGATTCACCAACGACCGGCCTGCACCTTTCACTCGCTTCTCTTTCCGCGAGACGGGGCATCCTTCACGGAACCGACGTGTCCTGAAAGCACCAGATGATCCCAAAACCCGATATGAGGCATCCGTAATCAAAGGACCTACATAATGCGGTGTTCGCTCGCTTTTATCCCCGAATTGGTGGAATCGTTCGCCATGAAATGGAACGAGCCATGCTGCAACCAAGACGCACATCTAAATCCGCTGCCTGCCCGGCAGACGCACTGCCCACCTTGCGACACGTAGGTCACTCGAGCGGTGGTTGTCGTTTTGGCCGTGGGGATTGCCCGATTTGCCCAGGACAACAAGGCCAGACCGGGTCAGACTTCCCCAGAGGCCCCTTTGTTGGTGTCTGCAAAGCGATGACAAAAAAGCAGGTAACGGTGTTTGTCTTGTTTTACTAGGGCTGTTTTTCTTTTTGCTAGGGCAGGTTTTCCGCAGGGCTGACAACATCCCCAGCATCACTTGGACCTGGCAGTTGGGAGTTGCTGGGCTGGTTTAAGTTGGGGCGGCTGTTGGCTGGCTTAGATCTTCATGAGGGTGGGTCTTGGGGTGGTGTGGGGTTGATTTAGGCGAAGCGAAGGGCTGACATCCAGGCGGATTTTGTTCTCGTTTAGGATCGGTCTGAAAGCGTTTCCCCAAACCACCAAAACTCGCCCACACCTCACTTAGCCGATCCCCAAAAAGCAAGGCGAACAAAAGAAGAAGCGGTAAAAAGGCAGGCAAGGTCTGGCAAGGAGGGGCGCTAACCGCCGCCCCCCAAACAACAGCTTTCTGAGCGCCTTTTTGGGTGGCGCAAAGGTCTCCTGTTTCACCCCCAAATAACAATTCCGTCTGCAAGTCAGCCAGGGCAAACACCGCAAGAATAGGATGCCACCTGTGGTTCTGTGGCAAGTTTGGGTGATCTCCACATGTCCTCCCTAAATAAATGACCGACCACTGGCTGCTGAACGTCGAGTTTATGACTGACCCCAACTCACAAATGCACCCTACCATAAATCGCCAAATCGGCTGTGCAATGCGCAGAACTCCGCATGTGCTTCCCTGGCATTTTCGGGCGGCATCTGGCAATAAGAGTATACCTTGGCCAGTGAATGTTTTGAGTAGCTCGCGTACAAAGGGGGAATCTATGAGATCATCTTGATTGGCCCTTTCAAGAGCATTCTGCAACCTTCAAGTCCTAACCGCCACCAAAGCCAATAGGCAGCCCTAGCTCGTAAAACAAGGAGGACCCCTTCATTACGTGAAGCATCAGAACAAAAAGGGGCATGTTCGGTCCCGAGCCCAGCCAAAAGGCTAAACAATGGGCGACACACCAATGCGTTTGGCAACAGCCATGATGTTTTCGTTCTCCACCGTACCTGCCTTCTGGCCCCAGCCAGCGAATCTTGAACTCTTCACTTGGCTCGAGCTTTCCGCACTTGTGACGCACAGTATTCGCAAAGAGCATTTGAGCAGAGCCCGAAAACCATTGCCGTGGGTTGTACCAACATGGCTCTAAAGGCGTGCAAGCTTAACCCCGGCCCCAGGGGGGGAGTGGGCACTGCTCAATTCTTGCGACACGGCGACAGAACTCTACAAGGCCTGCCTCGCTTCCTGAGTGGATTGGTCAGAAAAGAAACACAATTGCTGATTGCTGTTGAAAATGATCTCTCCCCCCTCCTCACACACAACAAAAAAACGGCTGGGTGGAGGCGAGATGCCTTTTTGTAGGGATGCCTATCTTGAGAAATTCATGCAAACTTAATTATCACACACAGCAACCCCCTTCAATCCGCCCCAAGCCAACTGCATAGGTGTCTTTCCGCCCTTGTCGGCTTTGTCCTCGTCGGCTCCGGCTTGCAGCAAGCCACAACCTCCTGATGGCCATTCGCGGCAGCATCATGGAGAGGAGTCCTTCAGCTCAAGTCGGCTTTGTCCTTGTCGGCACCGGCTTGCAGCAAGCAACGCACAACTTCCTGATGGCCACGTGCGGCAGCATCATGTGTGGGAGTCTTTCCGCCGCTGTCGGCTTTGTCCTTGTCAGCGCCCGCTTGCAGCAAACAAAGCACAACTTCCAAATGGCCATTCTCAACAGCCGTCTGCAGCGGTGCCACCCTGAGTCCATGGTCATCTGAGACAACTTCTTCTGAGTCGTGTAGGAGAACTCCTTTGTTGCCCGGGTCCAGAGCCTTTCGAGGAGGTTCACAACTGCTGCAAGACCCCCGTCTCGCGCAACCTTCACCAACGCTATCTCGCCATCTGGATCTGTCGAGTAGGGCCGAATCACAACCACCAGCTCCGCATCGATCCAATGGCTGTCTACCGAAAGCATTGCATCACCGCAAACCAGCGCAAGCCGCCTGAAATACTCTACCTGAAGCTGCGTGGCCAATTTGCGCCTCAGCACGTCAATGAAGACGTCATCCTGCAGGTGCTTACTCTCATTCCACCATGCAGCGAACTCAGCCTCGGACATCACATGCTCACCGGAGACCTTGCAAACGCGCCCCATCACTGGGCGCGAGCTAAAGACAGGCTAACGCCCAAAGTGAGAATACGTGGCAGCCAAAATCTGAGAGCCGTTCGTTGGCTCCATCTCAAACCCTGGAAAGGGGCTGTCAACTCCATTGCCCTTCAGCCAGTTTCTGCAGGAATTACTCCAAATGCTCAACAGGACCTGGACACATGTCCCCTACCAAACCTTTTGGAGCCGCGCCAAGCTTTCCCATTTTTTCATCAGTCACTTGGGTGGCTTACCGCCTGCCAGTGAAACGCCACACTAGAAACCAAATCGGCCAATGGTGGGTTACCTAATGTATGAGCAACTGGCATCCACTGGGTGAGGTTGTCGAGCCACATTCGGCCGCGTCTCGCACCAAGCGGCCGAAGCTCTGCTTATCCAGCCGCATCAATATACCACACACATCAAAACCACTCTCTCTGGGCTTCTCCAACCCATGGGTCGAATCAAAGAGCACCACCCACCACCCCTTAAAATGTCCAGTTGAAGCGCAGAGGATTAGTTATGGCGTCAACATTACTTAAAGTTGGAAGTTACACTGGAGACCTTGGATGGCAAGCTACTCTGGTGGTTTTACAAGGGAAGTTGCCAGGAAAACAGAAGCGTTTTTGGCAGAAGAGCTACACTCCAAATTAGTCTGGGACCCTCAAAAGCATTGCTTTTTTGTTACATGATGTCCTTTGCGCGGAATTCGACCCCCACCCCTTCGGGTTCCACGTCAATTTCGGGGCAGTACCTGAGTACCTCACAAGGACTCCAACGTTGGAAATCATGTGTATGGTGGATTGGACGGCTTCTTGACAACCTGATTCGACCTCGTCCTGCTGCCCGTGTTCCCTCAAGCTCTGGCCTTCGCACCCTCCTTAACTTCCACCCAGTCGTATGAGTGGCTACTAAAGCTCAGAGCCCAATCGAGACAGGTGCTTGTAGCATTTCGGGTACCATACAGGCAGTTCTGAAATTGCGCTTTCTTCCATGAAATGGGCCTGACATCGCAGAAGAAGATCCCCCTACCTTTGAACACTTCTAGCTATTCACCAAAAGGGTGCCGTGCCTGTTACGCATCAGCAGACCGCATGCTTCCAACGCCCGAAGAATGGCCCTTGCAGCCCCGCCGTCACGTCCCCATAGAGGCGCGTGGCACCTGCGAGATCCAACGGGACCCGAAACACCCGAACTGCTTAACGTGTCATGGCTTGCGTTTATTTGCAATGCTTAGGGCAAGAGGTTCTTTGAGGGAACATTCGGTGGCCTGTGGTGGATCTATCGAAGTGCCTTTTCAGGTATGATGCTCGCACACTACTCTAATTGCAAGTGTGTAAGGCAGTATGTACTCCTTTTTGCACTTATAGTGGTACACAACCTCCATACTCCCCTTAACCATACCTAAAAATACTCTTGATCTATCAACAGGTTTCACTCGGCATTGAGAAGGTGAGTTTGGGTCATCGAACGGCAGGATCTCCTGGTAACCCGGGTGCCAATCGGTCTGGAAAAACAAACATCCCTCTTGGGTTTCCCTTTGGAGATTAAACATGCCCAAACGGCCCGAGTACCTCCTGAGGATGGAGGATGGCTGTTTAAAAGGTAACATGAGGTCCAAGCACATCCTTAGAAGGTACCAAGGGGCCCTCATGCAACCCTCTGGGATAGGCTATGTAGCACGGCTTTCGAATCGCGTTAGCTCTCGGAAGACCCGATCTCGGGATGGTGCCACCCCATGGATCAGCATGACAAAAACACGCCACCCCATGGATCAGTATGACAAAAAGCATGCCACCCCATGGATTGCTATGTCAAAAACCAAAAGAACAAAATGGAACGAACGAGGTGCCGGATTTTTCTTGGGCTCCCACAGACTTAAAAACCCCCTAACCTGGGTGTCAAAACCACGAACCGCCACGCCGTTCCGTCCCACAGACTTTCGCCCCGCCGAGCTCGGGCTAAAAACCACCAGCCAAGCGCCGCCTGCGGTGCCGGCGGAGCCCACCGTCAAGGTGTTGGTGCCAGAGATGGCCACCGGGCCATTCAGCGCGACGCTCCCGGAGCCTCGATTTGGCGATGGGTGAAAATAGGCACCAAAATGGACCTCTGGTAAATGGAAACTTGGACTACAATCCGCGGTCCCCTGGTGGCTTTTTGTCCCATACCCATTTGTCGAATCGAACGAAAGCCACGCGGCGCGGCTCGAGGGCAAAGGCCCCTGGGAAAGTGGCTCAATTGTGAGGCCAAATTGGCACCCATTTGGCCTCTTGGGGTGAAACCAAAGGGAAGCCAGTGGACCCCCTACTCAAAATACCAGTTTTTTTCAGGGTGTTTTTGGGAAAACCTGGTTTTCCATGGTAAATACCTCCTTTTTTAGAAGTTGGTCGACATGATACCCTGAAAAAAAAGGGATTTGGAGTAGGAGGACTTTGTTCAAGTTGGATCCCCTGATTTTGGCACAGCCGCAAGCAGGGTTCTGACGATAGTTCCTTGCGGCATAGACTTAGAGGATAAAGCAAAAAAGTCGCTGGTGTGTTAAGTGGATTTTGACCATTTACAGGTCCAACCTAAAATCACCCAATTACTACTCACCGTAAAGGGGCTTAAAAGTATAGAACCGGGACATATCGGGAAAACTGATCGAGCGGGAAGGTGTGGAAAGCCCCGGTGTTGTTGTTGTTCCAGACATCCAGCGCGGCTTCAGCCTACTTTGGTCAGTTCGACCGGTTTGAAGAGTGAAATTAACAAGTGAAGGATTGGCGCATCACTTTTTTTTTGGGGGGGGGGGGCAATTTGAAGTGGGTTCACATTGGGAAAGGTGATGTTCAATACGGAGATATAGGGCCCTGGAGTATGCCGCTTTCGGTTTGGTTGGGAAGTGGAGGATGAGACCAGCAAGTCCTAGCGAAGAAACCAAAAGGGAGGTTGACTCCCCCCCTGCAAATTAACTCAAGGAACTTGCTTTTTCCAAAAAGAGACTCCTCCAGAAGTGATGGCTTTTTGGGGTTCCATGTCAATCTGCCGGCGAGTAAGGGGCCATGCTCCTCTTACTTTTTAAAGGGTGGTTGCTTTGGCTACCTACAACACCAGGGAAGTGGTTCCACTGGGTGCCATGATGTTGACCATCTGCTTGAGAATTGGTGCCCGGTGTCCGGTGTTTCAGGTGAAACCTGAAAAGGAGGGACACAAAGACAGACAAACAGGTAGACAGACAGGTAGGTAGACAAGACAAGACAAAACGAAACACAATAAGACAAATGATTTGCCATCTTCGGGATTTGTTCTGAAAGGTTGAAAGTATTTTGTCGATGAAGGAACCACAGGTTTGGGTTGGCAACAATATCTCCCAGGAAGCTCGCATGACTTCCCGACCTCCCGAATCTTGGCGTGGTGAGTAAGAAGCGTGGTGTCACCAGAATTGGTGACTCAGTAAACAAACTGGTTCCCGGAGAGAAAAAGGGAGCTGGAATTTCAAGGTTTTTGTTCTACTAAGTGCAAGGTTCCAACACAACCCGGTTTCGAAGAAAAAGTTGTTGGATTCTTGGGATGTTTGCGTTGGCCAATACACTCATCATATCATATGTCCGGTGCTAGTTGGGCCCATGGTACAAGGCCCAAGGCCCATTTCGATGACTGAGCCGGCGCCCGGCTTTTTTTTTCTGTTCCGGGAACTTGGAACCAGCTCCCTCTTTTTTTCTCCGGGACCCGGGTCTTTTACTGAGTCACCAATTCTGGTGACAGGTGTTTGTTCCGGGTTCCCGCGTCGCGCCGCTCGGGTTTTTTTCGGGTCCCCCGCTGGTGGAAAACGCCCCGGAGGAGGCCGAGGCATCGAAGTTCCCGGAGCTGATCCTTCGGAGTGTGGCCGGGTGGCACCGAAGGACCCCCGAAGTTGGGAGTGGCTTATGAGTGGCTTAGCATTTTTGGAGGAGGGGATTTTCAAGGGAAAATTTCTCAGAATTTGGATGGGATTTTCAGTTGGATGGGGGTCTCTTACAGGTTTTCCATTTGGGAAACCCTGTTGGATGAGTTTAAGCGGAAGGGGAAACCACTTACCCGGAGGAATCGACCCTGCATCACTTTGGCGGGTTGTTAACCCCTGGTCAGTTGAGGCTAGCAACCACATACCCTCGCCTCACGGAGAAAGTGGATGTTTTTTTTTTTCTTTCTAAAATTGGATTTCATTTGGGATCCCTGGTTGGATGAGGAATCGGCATATTGAAAAAACCAAGCCCATCCAAAAGGAATCTGCCAAATTGAAACAACATCTATGCGTTACTCCTGCGACTTGTGGACCTGCATCCAAGTGCCCCATATGACATTTTGACTTCGGCACACACTCTTTGTATGGCCGGTCAAGTCAGGCCAAAACAATTTAACACTCCTCCAGTGCTCTGTCCTTTTCAGACCCTTCTGGAGAAATCAAAGCCCTAAGGGTAGCAACCCAAGGAGCCTACTCGGGGTCTCCAGCAGGGCTAAGGACTCATTCCCAGTGCATATTCTTCTGTGGTGCGTGCATGTTTCCATAAAACCTCCCAATTTGTTGCATGTTGTTTAATTCTGCTTTCTTGTGTGGGGGGATGGTCTCCCAAAAATCAGGCCTTTTGGCTGTTGCGGGGCAAAGCCAGCCGTGGTCATTTCCCCAGAGAACCTTCCATTGATGACGGTACATCTTGTGGCCTGAAAATCAATCCCCGCCCTTCCCCGACAAGGTCCTTGCCAGCCACAAAGGAAACTCATGTTACCCAAAAGGTGCTGCTTAAACCACCCAAAAAGGAACCTAGTGCGTGCCAAAGGTGACCCCTGAGCCAGCCTGGAGGGCACCCTCAAAGCAACACTTTGACTTACACCTCAGTTTTGCCAAAAAAAGAAGATAATAAGTCCACATGTCCATGTTGTTGCTGAACAAACAAACATGATGTCCAAACAAAATTAGTAAATGACAAACTAATCAAACACATACACCCATCTAGCGACCCTGCACAAACCCGAGTGCTTGGGAGTGAAGGCAAAGCGGGCATCCTCATGTCCCTCGGTTCGCATCGGGTCCCGGGCGTAAGCCCAGAATCACAGGTCACCGCGCCCTTGAGGCTCACTGCCCCCGTGGATGTGGCGAAGGTGCCTTGGTTCGGGCTGTCCTCAGCGGGAAGCTCCAAGGACATGGCCAAAGAACCTCCAAGGACTTCTAGAGTTTTATGGCCGATCAAAAACGCAGATGGCCTTCCGATGAGTACATCCCATGGGCAAAATCACTCGTTGTGCTTCGTTCGCATTCAAAGACATCTTCCCAAAGGAACCGGATCCAAAATGCGGCCATCCAGGCAAGCACGAGTCAAGCAGCTGTTTTCCTGCTGTCTCTCCTGTTTTCTCGGAGTCCGCGCGTGCTGCTTAAACTTGACTCTTGGAGGTCCGTGACACTCCCCCCAAACCACCCTCCAAACAGCAGGGTAAAACTGGATATTCGTGCTTCCATTTACCCCCCTTTTCTTCCAGCGGTTTGGGGGTCGTGGAAATCGTGGGATTCAACTCGCTTGATCCGCTTGCTGGATCCGCTCGCTTCCTCGCGCCGGATCCTCAGTTGTCGAGGAAGGTCTTGCGCCCGCTCAAGCCGCTGCCGCCGCCGCCGGTTCCGGCCAATGAGTCCTTCCAAGTGTTGTCCAGATACGCCAGGCCCACGAAGTCCCAGGTGTCCGCATTGCAGCACACCTGACACGCGCGTGAGCGCGCGGCGTGAGCGCGCGGCGTGAGCGCACGGCGAGACCGGGAGGCGAGGTGGTGGCAAGGTCGGCTGAAAACAAAGAAAAAAGAGGTTGTATGGGTAGATTGGTTTAAACAATCAAGATTGGGCAAACAACAACCGAGGCTGAGGCTGGTTGTGTTGGTAGATTGGGTGAAGCAACCAGAAGAGGTCTTTTTGTAGATAGCAGTCAAACATGAAAAGGGGGACACAATGAAACAGAACTGGGCCAAACAGGGGAAACTCCACCATGACAACTAGAATTCACAATTTCATTGGGAAACATCATAGTGTCACAGCAAGTGGGATGTTCAAAATGCAGATCTTGAATATGTGCTGTCCCATAGATTGCGGATGAGGCATCCCCCTCATTTTGAACATCCCAACTTGTGCTTCCTTTTGTTTCAGGTGGACAAATTGTACTTTTCGCCGACCAAGTGAATCCCCTGGACCATGAGTTCAAGAGTTGCCATCGGGAGCCCGATCAAAAGCTCCCTGGTTTCAGGTTTGACAGTTTCTCCAAGCGTTTCTTTGGTTTGAATCATTTCCCTTTAAAGGGGTCTGCAGATTGGTTGTTTTGCAATCTGGCAGGTATAATTTCATCGATTTCTTGGGGTCTTGGGGGGGGGGGGAAATCTCCTGCAACATGGCCTTTTATCGCTGAAAACAGAAACTGCCTTTCGCTTTGCAAGGGAGACCAGGCGCTTCTTGTTTAGGCTGATCTTGCCCTGCGTAAAATAGGCCCAGCCCACAGCGCTCCCGAGTCCGGACGAACCGCTCTAGAGCCTATCTGAGCCTGTCGACCCCATAGCTTTCAGCTGGAAAGCAAAGAACGAAGCAACAAAGAACGGGTCTGGCTTGTGGCAAACCTGAAAACCCGTAAACGTCCCAGAAAGGGGCATTCATCCGAAAATCGGCTGATCCATGGATACTGACTTTCTAGGATCTATTGATTTGGGCCAAGTACTCAGCAGCAGTGGAGTTTGAGGGGAGTCATGGTCCATGGTAGGTCCTCCGAGGGCTGCCTAGGCCATTGCTGTCACAGAAAGCGGCCCAACCCAATTTGCCACTGCTGAGCGAATGCATCCCACCTTGTATAATTGGTCAAGCAATCATATTTCCAGAGTTCCTCTTGGGTGGTCTGCAAGGGTGTCGGACCTCTTCTTACTCCCCTGCAGACTCGGAATGTCCTAAAATAGTTGGGGCCACCCAACAAGCCGGTTGTCTAGACAAAAACCACACACACACATCCCCATGGCAACCCGCTGGATTCAAAGCGACGCCTTGCTGCAAACGCGAGCCACCTGAGTCATAATAAGCACCGGGCAAAGGTAGACCTCCACCGAGGAACCATGTAAACTATCAAACATGAAGCTACACCTATGGTTGTCACTCGCTTTTGCTAATCTTCACTTGCCCGGGATTTGATTCTGATTTGGCCTTTGTCCAACTTGACTCTAAAGGACTTCTTAAGCCCCTCGCTGGGCCCCAGGAAAAGGGGGTCCAAGGTTTAGGGCTTTAACATGCCTGTGGCTTGGGTTTGACGAACCGCGGTGTTGGGTAGGTCTCAAGAGAAAGCTTGAACCCACCACACGGCTGCTTCTTCTTTTGATGATACCCTCATTCCTGCGAGATTTTCAGGGAACCCCAAACAAAAACACCGAACATCCCCCAGCCCGTTTTGTGAGGTTCCCCCCATGTTCAGCCCCAAAACGGGCCGGGCCCCCGCCCAAACCGCCTGCCGCTCCAGGAAGGCGGTATCCGCTGGGCCGATGAGCTTTTGCCCCAGGTCGAACTGCGCGAAGACGTCCCGGGAGCCGTAGATGGCCTACGTCCGACCGTCCGACCGACCGGCTGAAGCCCGGCTGAAGCTGAAAAAGCTGCGGCTGGAAACGGCCGTTTTTTGGTGTGAGTGGGCGATTTTAATGTTTCTGTGGGTGATTTTGGTGTTCTTGTGGGTGTGGATATTTTCTTTCTTTGCGACCCCCACTACTGTTGTTGGTGGGTAGTTTTCACGGACCAAACGAAAAACCCCAAAGGGAAATGCGGCACTTCACGAGGGTGCGTCACACCCAAGCAGGGTTTCCCGCAAGATACGCGCTCGAAATGGGATTCGGAGGCCCTTTTGGTGGGTATTGCAAGAAAAGATAAGATATATAGGGCTTGATTCCCCATTATTTTCAACCATCGTTCTTTTCAAAACCGGCCGTTTTCCTCAGGTTTCTTGTGGGTTTTTAGAAGATCCGGATCTCTGGAAAGAATGTTCAGGGTACCCCAGGAATAAAAGGACAACCAAAAGGAAGCCAACCAGTTTAGGAACACCATTAGGTTCTACCCAGAATGGGGTCGTCTCCCTTTGGCTTGCGTTTGGTCTCCTTTGGGGGAGGTATTTTTGACTTTTTTTTGTTTTTTTTAAAGAAACAAACCAAATGTGTCGTTTTGTCCCAAAACAGGGCAGCCGAAAAAGGGATTGCCAAAAGATACATCCCAAGATACTGATTCGCAAGAGGAGCCTCGAACTTGAAATGTGTTTGTCAATACAAACGTGGGTGTAAACTTCCTTTCAGGACCCTTTGGTAGACATCATTTACATGGGATTTATGTCCACCTCAACAGGAGTTGAAGCAGTTCCCTTTGGAGATTCATGGCCAAATGTGGTTCTCAACATGGGGAAGGTTCCTGGTTGGTTGGTATTGAAAGGAAAACCAGCAGGAGCTACGTAGATGGTGTCACCAGAAGAAACACGAGGCCCGCCTTGCGCAAGCCGATCTCTCCGATGGCACCCCAGAGCACTGTGGTGGCGTAGTGGTTCACGCCCTGGAGTCCGTGACCCATGGGACTTTGTGGAAATGAAAATACAAAAACCGTTGGGTGTTTATAAAGACCCTGTAGCTATCTTTAAGGAAATCACCAACCATTCAGGGTTGGAACGTCCGGGTACAACATGTCCAATAAATGAAATAAGGGATCCTCGAGTAATGGACATATATCATGATTACCTTGTTTGACCTCCGAATCGGTAAGCTCGAAACCCATAAAATAGGCAGTTCGATGGTTCAGTGGAAACACCAAAGACTCTGACGGAAAGGATGGCTTTGCAAAGCGTTGCGAGCGCAAGCGCCTGAGTTGAGCCCTGCAAAAGCTGCACGACTACGCAACAAGTCTGAAGGTTGCAAACCCTTCTAAACTAATGGCGCAACCCCTTTTTTCTTCAGACCTCCAGTGGCCAAGGGAAAAAGGGCACTTTCTTTGGGTTTGTTGACTTTGAAATAAAAACGCCCTGGAAAACTGACAAGGCAGCCCTGCAGGTCTGGGAGCTTCTCTCGACATCGCCAAGTAAAGAAACACAACCCCTCCGCTCAACACCTTGGAAACAGGCAAACACAAACAACTGCCAATTGCTCCCTTGCTCCTTGTCAATTTCCTCCCTGAATGCCAGGCATTTCTGCATAGCCAACAAGTTACAGTCTGTTCAAATATGGGGGCCTGGCACACTTCACATTGAACCAAGCAGCCAACCTAGACCAAAACCCACGTGAGGATGCGATAGGATTTGCCCAGAAACCATTCTTTAATTGCAAAACTTGTCCTCCGGAATGGTGATCCCCCTTGTCGTCCCCCTCCCTCTTCCCTCAAGCCTGCCCCGAGGGCCACATGTCAATAAAAGGAAATAAGGGCCAACTTGTCCTGGGAAGAAAAAACGTAGCTGACTTTCTCGGGCAACCTCCTCTAAAAAGGGAGCAACAAGCATAGTACTCATAGTACTCCCCAAACCAACATTGCACCTGCCAACCACTTTTGGTGGGAAATTTGGGTTCGTCGGCAAACCTCTGCGTCCTGTAGGCTTTTAGATGCCCAGCCGGCCCGCCCTAAACAAGGCCATCCCCCAAACCAACAGTTACCAAGCATGTTGCTAGTGACTCACAACGGTCGCAAAACCCCAGGGTTAAATGGGGGTCCTTGTTTTATACTCATCCCCTTTTAGTTTCCCTTTGAGAGGGCTATGGGGCTTGGCCTCCTCATAACGGTGGAATTGATCGAAGTAGACTACACATCCAAGCAGGAAATCAACATTTCCTGGGTTGCTCTTCCCTGAGCAAACAGGTCGATCATCTTTTTAAGGGGCAAGCAATTTGGGCGTGTATTTTGAGCTACCCTTTTGTGTGAATAAAGGGACAACAACAGGAACACCTCCATTTTGGGAAGTCTCCTGACAAAGACAGACCGATTTGTTTCCCAATTCACTCCTGAGCGATTCGGTCAACCAGGCGTCGCTGTTTCGGACCCGAGACGTTCTTGGCGCCTGGTGGCGCTCCCAAAGGGACAGGCCATCCATCAAGCCGCTGGCACCCGTGACGGGGCCAGAGCCTCCCTGGCCCATGTACACCGAAATCGAGGAGAAGTGCACCTGACGATTGGGCGTTTGGCCAGGGATTCTTCGGGTTTTTTGGTGGCTTCGTGATTTTTGGCTTGCAGCCTTCGGTTCTGAACCGGCGCTTCTTGCTCGTGTGTGATGTTTGTTCAGCTTTTGGTGCTTCTTGGTGTTGGCTTTCAGCATCACCTCTCAAGTCGGCTTTTTGTTGGTGCCCAAAATCACCCCTATGCCAGGTGGCCTTGTGGGTCGCTAATAAACACCGCCATTGGAGTAGTGAACCTCTTGGCTTTTCGGCGTGCTGATGCTTTTTGTCGCCGGCTCGCCGTTGAAGGATGAATTGGTGACCTGCTGCAGTCGTAATTGGGATTCTCTGGGGGAAGAGTAGAAAACTGGCAAAAGGGAAACCAATGGCAACCAATCCAATTGTCCACCCTGGTTCAAGGGCCAAACTCTCTTCAAAAAGGACCTGAAAGGCGACCAAGACAATCCAAGTTCCCTTTGAGGCTGGCTTTTGCGTAAAGACGGGTCTCAGTACCTTAGATGCTCGCACCCCTGGATGTGCAAAACCAACTCAGCGAGGCGCCGTGCGGTTGATCTGCGTTGCCGCGCTGAGGCGGTGGTAGTTGGCCGCGGCGTGGGCCTTGCTGCCGAAGGTCTGGAAAATCGAGGAGTTGATGGTTCCTGGCAATTCCAAGCGAGCCATTGCAGCCTGGCGACTCATGTCTAATAGCGACTTCTTGGGGGGGGCCAATCCCGTTGGTGGCAAGATTGCATTTGAAGAGACTTAGCCCCAAAAAAAGGACTCGAAGCGGACGTTTGCTGGTACACATTCGTTCGAACCGACATGGGTCATTGGACCTCTTCGGCGAATCACCATTCAGGTTCCTCCCAAAACTGGATCGGCACAAGTGCAGTCAATGTCTCAATGTTGGCATTCTTTTAGGAACGGCCCCTTTGGAGCAACCCTCGTTTCTGAAAACGTGGAATTCTCATCCCAAAGTTGCGACTTTCAGTTGGGAGTCCCTTGCGCCAGCGTTGCATCCACAATTAAGGCCGAAGAAATCCTCCCCCACTTCCTGATTCGATTGGCCCATTCTTTTTTCAGCTGTCTTCCCAAACAACGCACACACACACATGGTTTTGTCACCAAACTTAGTTTCCCCCACCATACCATTGGTTTCCCTTTGGTTTCCCTTTTCGCGCAACCTGAACACCAGGGGGTTCCGCTCCCAAAAAACTCGTCTCGGATGCTTCGTTCGGATGCCCCCTCCAGTCGCTGGCCTGTCGCCTGCACCAGGATCTCCACCGGATTGGTGAACTGGGGCGAGGGTCTCAGAGGCTCCACGGCCTTGACGTTGGCGATTGGCACCAACGTCTTGTCCTGAGCGGGGGGGCGCTGGTTTCGGCGTTTGAGCGCTTTTCTTGGATCAGCCAGGACTCTCTTCCCGAAAAATCCGTTGCAATCCATGGGCTATATAGGCAGCCTTTTTCCCAATCCTGCCCGTGGCCATGGAAAAAAGGGCACTGGGCACCGTTGTTGGTTGTGCTTTAAGGGGCCCCCCCTCCCGAAAATCAACGGGACAAATGGCAATGCAACCCGGGGTTTAGAGTTCAGGCGGTCCCACCGGGCCTTGCGCTGCAAGGTGTTGGCCGGCCGCGGCTTCCGCAGCGCCTCGTTGGCCACGTCCGCGCCCGCGAGGTGCGAGGCGAAGTTCAGGAAGCGGCCCACGTGGGGCCCGTCCGGGGCGGAATTCGACAGAACCTGCCGAGCGGCCGAGGGGCCGAGGCGGGGGGGGGAATCACCCAACACAACGCCAATTGTTATGGGTACCCGGCGTCTCCTTCTGACCCTTACAAAATTTTGGGTGCCCTTGAATTGGAGGGTGGGGGAGGGATGGGGGGGATGGGGGGGATGGGGGGGGATGGGGGGGAATATCACCCTCAAACTGCCTCTCAAAACAGGGGTGATTCGGAGTCTCCTTCTGACAGTTTAACCCCAGCATTTTGGGGTGACCTTATTTTTGAATGGTCATGGAGACTCCAGGTACTGCCCCAAACAATTGTGGTGATGCCGATGCTTCAAGGGCAGTGTGTGGGTTCAGTGGTTTTTGTCGTGGCACTTGAAAAGCACTATGGGCGAAAATCGAAAGCCGCCGCGGTTGCACACGATGTTCCATTTGCCCAAACCCAGTTGATTGAAGGGGGCTGTTGGTTATAGGTGTCGTTCAACGTACCCAGGACCTCAGGAAAACTGCATAAAAGGGCGGGCCAAGGGGTAGGGTATTTCTCACTGCACCACGAGTTGTTGTCTTATTCAATCTTAGGGGGTAGCCCTGCAACAATCTCCAAATTAAGCGGTCGTGCCCCAATTTATGAAGGGTCGTGCAAACTTCCGGCGCTTGCTTGTTGGTGCTTTGCTGGAATCCACTGAACAACCAAGAGGAAGCCTTGATGTTGTTGAAACACAACCAACTGGAATTGTTGTTCTTGAATCGCCTGGAGGAACTGGTCGTTTTCAACGCAGAATCATTGCTCTTGAGTTCTAGTATCGTGGAACAGGAATGGTTGCCAAAACCCAAAAGGAGAAAGGGCCAAAGGGGTTCACCAAGGGATAAGAGCGGAATTAGGTTGTGGCGTACTGCTTCACCACATCAAGTCATGATCATAGAACAATCACCCATTGAACAGGAATGGATATCCGAATGGAACCAGTCGCTTTTTCTCCCCCTGATTCATGCGACCAGAACAAAAATACGCATGTTACTCCTTATACCTGCCGTTTCAGCCAATCCCACGCCGCATTTTACAACCCGCACTCAGCCATCGACCCATGCCCCCGGACTCATGGCTTCCGCCCCGCTCCTCCGCGCAGATGGACTTCGTGGGCTCCTCGATGGACCCCGGGTGCGGCAGATGCCCCAGCTCCACAAAGGCCAAGTTCAGGCCCTTCGGCACCGCCTGAAGCGCTAAAGGAGGTTTGGGGGGGAGGGTCCTTCTGTCTTTGAGACGTGCCCGTTTTGGGAGGGCAAGGGAAAGTCGCAGGAAACCCCAAATCGAGGCACAGACCAATTTGTTTGGATTCCGCCAGAGGCTGCGGCGCGAGCGTGTGAGGTCGCTAAACCCTGTCTGCGAGAAGGTCAGGGTGCCAACCAGAAAGAGAGGCAGCCAACGTATTAGGTGTGGTGATTTCATTTGCCCGGATACAAGGCCAATGAACAATCTGCACCCTACCGTTAGAAGCAGGGGGCAGGTTTTATTTGCCTGAGGGAAGGGTTAAGATCTCCAAGTCCAGCTATCTTCTCCTCGAAGGGAACACATAGAACCATAAATCAAAACTGCAGAGCGCTCGCCCAATTCATTTGCTTCAAGGGGGATCACACACCAAAAGCCGTTCTCCTGGGGGTCGGGAAAAAGCTCGGATTCCATCTTCATTTGGGTGCGTGTTTTCTTGGATCTCCTCTTCAACCAAAGAGAAGCCGCCCATATCTCCGAATCCACCCAATCGCCCCGTGCCTGTTGCAGGAAGCTGCTGGCGAGGGCATCCCGCAGCATCTGCACGGTACGGCACCCGTGGCTCAAGTTGCTGACACCCGCCACAAAGCCTCCGGCAAAGATATCGCCGGATTCGACCGGGACCGAAACAAGCCGGCAAAGAGGTACATTTTGCTGGTTGAAAGGGAGCATGATAAAAAGCCAGATACGCTGAACAAGTCAAAAAGTAAGCTAAGTCGGGCAACTGATTGATATTTGGATCTGACCATATCTGCAATTTGTAAACGAAATCCAAACCTAATTTGGGGTTTGTGGGAATCCATAGGCCCGCTACCCTTTTCAGCTTGGTTTACAGGGAAACCAAGTCAAATGGGGAGAAACACCATTGTAGGGTCCTATTTGACACGGGAGTCCATCCCCAAACAAAGCCATCCTTGGCATCTGGTCTGAAGTTGATTTTTTTGCGAGACCTTCGGACGCAGCCCCACACAAAAAACCTTTCCAAGAGCGCCTTCAAAAAGGCTCCTTCACCTTTCCTCCAGGGCTTCAAAAGGATTGGGCGAAATTCGACTCAACAAGCAGACTCGATTCGAACCCTTTTCAAGGGAAGCCAAACGGATATTAGCAGTTGTGCAAGGGTCCCATCCGTTTCCATGATTCCTTTACGGTATCCTGGATCCGGTTTATATAAGTCATCATGGAGCCAGCCTCAATCATTTGGCACACCCCGTTGTGAAGGCCCTTTTCGGATTAACGCCTAAGAAAAACAACAACTTGCTCCTTTGGTTTTGTTGGAGTGCCAACTCCGACAAAACACACACCCAAGAATCCGGGGGAACTATGATCATTCACACATTGAACACAGCATTTCTCCGCATTAAAAACAAAAAACTGCTTGACTGAAAGCCCTGCAAAACACACACACACACATCTGCGAATCTCACACTAACTCCAAAGCCCGAAAAAAATAATTCCCAAGTAACGGGTCTTCATATTGAGCTTGTTTTACCTCCGAATCGGTCCAACCGCTTGAACCCCACCCCTCAGAGAAAAGCAGAGTCCCTCAAAATTAGGGAAAAACCCTTTGGTGCTGGGAAACCTTTCAAACAGACACAAGCGCGCCCAAAAACAAAACATAACCCCCCCCCCCCAACCCAAAAAAAAAGAGTGTTCCTCAAATTTAGGGAACCCTTTTGGTGCGGTTTAGCGGGAAACCAACAAACAGACACAAGGGCGCTAAAAAAGAAAAAACTGAAAACCCCCGTTTGGTGCGGTTTAGCGGGAAACCAAGAAACAGACACAAGGGCGCTTAAAAAGCAACAAAAACTGAAAACCTCCGTTTGGTGCGGTTTAGCGGGAAACCAACAAACAGACACAAGGGCGCTTAAAAAGACAAAAACTGAAACCCCCCGTTTGGTGCGGTTTAGCGGGAAACCAACAAACAGACACAAGGGCGCTTAAAAAGCAAAGAACTGAACACCCCCGCGTGGTGCGGTTTAGCGGGAAACCAACAATCAGACACAACGGCGCTTAAAAAGCAAAAACTGAAAACCCCCGTTTGGTGCGGTTTAGCGGGAAACCAACGAACAAACACAAGGACGCCCAAAAAGCAAAAAACTGAAAACCCCCGTTTGGTCCAGTTTAGCGGGAAACCAAGAAACAGACACAAGGACGCCCAAAAAGCGAAAAGCTGAAAACTCCCGCTTGGTGCGGTTTAGCGGAAACCAACAAACAGACACAAGGACGCTTAAAAGGCAAAAAACTGAAAACCCCCGTTTGGTGCGGTTTAGCGGGAAACCAACAAACAGACACAAGGGCGCTTAAAAAGACAAACAAAACTGAAACCCCCCGTTTGGTGCGGTTTAGCGGGAAGCCAACAAATGCAAGGACGCCCAAAAAGCAAACTTTGGTGCGGTTTAGTGGGAAACCAACAAACATACAGAAGGACGCCCAAACAGCAAAAAACTGAAAACCCCCGTTTGGTGCGGTTTAGCGGGAAACCAACAAACAGACACAAGGACGCCCAAAAAGCAAAAAACTGAAAACCCCCGTTTGGTGCAGTTTAGCGGGAAACCAAGAAACAGACACAAGGACGCCCAAAAAGCGAAAAGCTGAAAACCCCCGCTTGGTGCGGTTTAGCGGGAAACCAACAAACAAACACAAGGACGCCCAAAAAGCAAACAACTGAAAACCCCCGTTTGGTGCGGTTTAGCGGGAAACCAACAAACAGACACAAGGACGCCCAAAAAGCAAAAAACTGAAAACCCCCATTTGGTGCGGTTTGGCGGGAAACCAACAAACAGACACAAGGGCGCTTAAAAAGCAAACAACTGAAAACCCCCGTTTGGTGCGGTTTAGCGGGAAACCAACAAACAGACACAAGGACGCCCAAAAAGCAAAAAGCTGAAAACCCCCGTTTGGTGCGGTTTAGCGGGAAACCAACAAAACAGACACAAGGGCGCCTCCCCCCCAAAAAGAAAAGAAAAGAAGAAGACCGAAAATCTAAAAAAAGAAAACGCCTGAAAAAAGAAAAGAACCCCCCCCCCAAAAAAAAACAAACACAATCGGAGGACTCTGTTTTTTGACAAAGCGCTGCTGCCCGGGCAGGTCCGCTTCAGCTCCGCCACCGCGTCCGTGAAGTCCTTGGGGGAGGCACGGACCTCGGAGCCCACCGGGGTCAGCAGGCAGTCGAAGATGATGTCCTCTCAGCTCAGCTCAGCGTAGCTGGCGTTGCACAGGAAAAAACAAAAAAAACAATTCTGCCTATTGGATATGTCCTCCTCAGCGTTGCAGAGGAAACACAACAACTACCTATTCTCGGTTGCTTTCTGCGTCCCTGCTCAAAGCGACTAACTTTTAGTGGTTTAATACGGAAAACCCATTAGTGGGCAAAAAGTTAAAGTCCTAACATCCCTTGGCAAAATACAAAGTATTGGATATGTCCCCACTTTGAGGGTACCTCGAAAAAGGGCGGTTGCTTCGGGCTATCCTTTGAAACCCATGTATACAAAAGGGGGGGTCCACTAAAAATTCGCACACCTATTTGTAGGGAAACAACTTTTGGGTGTACCTGGACAGCCTGGACCCGCAAAGAATCCCTTAGAAAAGAACACTCCCATTATCTTGGGGCAACTTCCCTTTCTTATGAATAGTTTGAGGGTGCAGGTAGGTAGCTGTGTTTCGTTTGTCAAGGGCAACAGCACCCTTCATCAAAAGGAAATAAGGAACCACCCAGAAGAAGATATTTAAACATGGGGAACCCGCCCATGCTTCAGATGATACTGTGGATGGATGAAATCCTGCACCATTGTGAAGCCAGGGGAAAACATTGTTTGTTGATATTTGATGGTATTTGTATGGGAATCATCATTCCAGGGCTTCTTAGGTGGTGCAGGAATCTGTCCATCCACAGTAGAACATAGGGAATTTCCAGTCCCCTGCTTTCGCCCCCGACTCCTCTGGGGGGAAGTCCAACTTGGAGCGTAGCAGCTGGAAGGCTCGCTGGCAGCTCCCCACCTAACCGAAGCCCGCGGCTCTGGCACCACGATATGTTAGAACCTAATTCATAAGCAAAACCTGGTATTGAAATGGTGTAATGTTAACCCCGGATTAATAAAGCCCTGGTTGATTACTTGGGGGGTGTCCCGTGTTCGTGGGGATTCATCACTTTTGGAGGGAATACCCCCCCTAATAATGGGATGGGTTTAGTAATCCTGGGTCAACATTACCCAAAACCCATGGTAAAGAATAATTGAAAGGGCGGAGATCCGCTATGGTTGGGACTATCCAGGTGTTGAACCTTCCAACCTAGACACATCAACCCTAAAGGAAACACATCTCACGTTGGTCCAAGAGGTGCAACTCCGGGACGTATGCCTTCTGGTTTCCCTCAGAAGAAGACACACCCATATCGAGACTGGAATGAGTCAGGATTCCAACTGGGGGACCCCAACCTGACAATATCGCCAAACAGCTCCCAGTATGTAGGTTAATATGTGTCAAAATTGGGGGGGGGGGTTGCCAGCAACGATGGTTTTCCTTATGGCTTACCTTTCAAACAAGTTCCTGTGGACCATACAGCCGCATACACGTCTACATCGCAGAACTTAAGGACTAATTCTCCATTATCTTTACCCATTGATCTCTTCGGAAACCACACGTCTTCACTGTATCGTCGCTAGTGTTCGAAAGATAGCGACTTGAGAGAATGGGAAAGGCATGGATAGAAATTGAACGTTGCTGCATGCTCATGTGTATATGAACACATCCGCGCTCGAGGTGCTATTCAACCAGCTGCGTACTCGACTGATCCCCTGCAAGGATCCCGTAGACTCAAACGAACCGGTTCCCCTTCTGATAGAACCACGGTGTGAAGATCTGGAGTCTATCTCGACATCCCTGATCCCCGTTGGGACGAGTCAATCCGTGGCCTTCTCCTGGTAGTTGGGGAACTCAAACTGCGACTTGGAGAGCGCGAGGATCACCACGGCGGCGCCAAAGCGCCGGCACTCCTCGGCACCCCGCAGGAACTCCTCCTCCGTGGAGGACAGGGACAGGCCGTTCACGATGCCTCAGTTGAGCCAGAAGCAAAACCCGGAAAAACGGTCTACCCAGAATCCATGCAACGGTAAAATGGTCTACCCAAATCCATGTGAAGAAGTAAGAAGGTCGATATTCGAACCCATTTCTGGCTGGGGTTCTCCCTTGCTGGCCTTTGTCTGGGCGGCGTTTGATCGTGACTCAGCAGAGTTGAGCCACAAGGCTTGGCATTCCAACAAAGGAGGAGGAAGAACAATAATAAGAGGCAGAACTGTACAAAGAAAAAGAAGAAGAGTTCACCTCTGCAACTTCACGTTCCCTTTCTTGATTTCCCTTTTCTAATGTTGATACCGGATCAGCTTCTTCCAGTCAAGAGTTTATCTAACTAAACCAAAACCTTTGAAATATACATAAGCTCAACTTGTTCTTTGCCTTACCTTAGCCCCCAAACATGAAACACACGGGCCATGGTTCCCACGAGGTCCAACAAAGTCTCCCCCCTTCAATCAAAATCAACCAGGGTTTGTTTGATGGTTTGAAGGGCTCCCTTAAACCTTCAACTAGCACAACCCACGGGCCACGGTTCCCAGAGTGTGCGTCAAACTAGATGCTGTTTTCTCTCTCAACTATTTTGATGATTACAACAAACAAACACAAAACACTCCAGTACCCTAAAGCCACGCCGCAATCCCAGGGCAATGACTCACATCACCAGAAACTGATTGGCTCAAAGCACCCGAGTTCTCTGTTCGTCTGGCTACCCCCAAGTCCCCAGAGCCGCCGGAGCCGAAGTTCGGAGCCAAGGCGCATTTCCCCTGCGCGCTCTTCAGCCCCTCGGCGATCACATCCCAAGTGCCCGAGCTGATGACCAGCGGCACCGAGGCGGTCGAAGGGTTCACGCCGCAGCGCCGCACGAAGCTCCCCATGGCCTACGGTGATCAACAACCCTTGGAAATACGACAATTGTCCGACAAGGGTATGGCATCTAGCTAAAGGGTATGGACTCTAAGGATGCAACTGGTCGCAATAGTGCTTCCCCCCCCTTTCCCGAGAATACCGCTTTCAGGGTTGGTTTCAAGGAAAACACAAAGAAAAACCAGAGAGACACCACTAAATCTTCAGGGAACCGGCCCCTGTGTTGACACATGGCCAAGTCTTGAGTCATGATCAAAAACGTTCTATATTCAAAACATTGACCCAATACAGTGCTGCACCTGTTTACAGTTGTTGTCCTCGACACAACTCCCGCTATCCAAGGATTTGTTGGCTCATATGAGGCACAATGAACACCTTGTATTTGGATGCTTGTTTTTGATTTGAGGGGGATGGGAGGTGGGCCAAGTGCCCTCTTTGAGGGGCCTTGAGAACCATGGGAGAAGTAGTGGTGACACACATAGTACGGCAATCTTTGATGGGATCATCGGGATTCAACCCCTTGGCTTGTAGAAAGCTCCCGTCATCAAAGGGCACACATACGCGTTCAACCGGTGAGACCTTGGCTTTGGCCCCCAACCCAAACAACCACATGTGTTAGAGTTGGGTCCATACTTAGCGAGCCTTAAAGTGTACAACACAACATGTCAAAAGAGAGACACCGAGAAACCATACTTATTGAACGGTGAGGGGTTGAGCCCCCATTAGAATACACAGAGGAACACACGTCGTGTGCTCCGGATGAACAACAAAACCGCGACAAACACCTTGGACCTTCTAAGGAAAACCTTGCATCATGACACGGGATGGCGCATACATGTGGTTCAACCAATGAAATCTAAAAATAAATGTGTATGAAGTACACCCTCTCCGCTGGGAAGTTGCAACATTTTCTGTTTTCGCGTCCAATGAAAGTCGGATCTTGCGCTTGATTCGGATGACCATACTAGTCAGGGGTGGTTGACCTTCTAGTGGAGAGTTAAACAAAATTTCAGGGAATTTCCACCATTCCTAGCACTCCTCTCGCTAAAATCCGGAGTTCACATTCTTGAAACCGGAGGCGTGCAAAGGCCCCCCAAAGCGGATCTGAGGGAACCTTCTGAAGGGAATTGTAACCTTGTCCGATGTGGAAGTTTAATGCACCCACAACATATTAACAGGGTTGATGATATCTTTGTTCAATGGTAACTTAGCTCCGTGCTGATCAATCTGCAAATTCTACAATGAATCTAAAAACTTACCTAAGAGATCCGCAAGTAAAGAACCTTCATCATTTGTTTTATCCCATCCGTGGCATCGCTTGAACGCCGAAAAATCGCTGTCCCATCATTGGTATCGTAGCAAAAGACCGACTAACCATTTTTTGCAGCCACTCAAGGTGAACAAAAAGCGTCAACCATCAAACTAACTTTTATGCATTGAACTACAGCGAAAATAACTAAAACATATCTCAGATGCCCAGTGACCATGGGGAAAAAAACCAAAAACAAAGGGCATCTGTTTTTTGGTTGGTTGCTATAAAGGGGAGCCAAAACCCCTTAAAAAGGGAAGAAAGGGCGCCGCTGGGCAACTGGGATATAGCAACCACGGTGAACGTAGGCTCCATCACAGCTTTCGACGGCTCGCCTTCTTGGCGTCGATCTTCGGGGAGTCGAAGTTCAGATCCAACAGATCCGCCTGGGCGAGTCGATTTGATCTTTTGTTGCATGTTCACACCACAAAGAGGGGGGTCAGATAAAACAAATGTGGGGGTCAAAAAAAAGGAAGAGCACTTGAAAACGCGCGATTGTTACCAAACAAGCTCCTTTTCAACAGCCTTTCCATTCTCTGTAAGGGAACCAGTTGGACATTTAAAGTGTGTTGAACAACAACTCCTTTTGGTTTCCAAGGAATTGAGACCCGGTAGTTTGAGCTTGCTTTGCCGGCGCCTTGTCCTCCACCTGTTGCTTGGCCACGTCCAAGGCCGCCTCCCAAACCTCCTCGTCACCTGAAGGGTGGATGCCAAATAGGCAACCGGCCATGTTCCTTCTAAAGGGAGGTTCCAATAGGTTACCTTCCAGGGAAATGCCGAGTTTGGGGTATTGTTGACCATGAAAAAAAACAACAACTATCCAAATCAGGGGGGGGTGCCCTGGAAGAAAGGACGCCCCCGTGATTACAGCATGACCCGCAAATGGGACGGTGCTTCGCGCGCGCGGCCCAAAGATCCCCAAAGCTGAAAGGGTCTCCGTTTTGGAATGTCTGGGGATTCCATGGGGTGTTGCTACATGGGGTTGCAGAGGGTTCCATTGCCATTGAGGCTGCTGTTTTATTGGGTTCCTGGTGGTTGGGATATCACCTCGTCTTGTTTTGAACCCCATAGGTTGCCTTCGAGTTGGAGACCACCAGTCTCTTGTGTCTTGCAGTACCCTGAAGTTGTTTCGGACTTGAACACCAAGTTCACAAATGTGTCTCTTTTGCTAGAAGACCCTCTGTTTTGGTGTCGGAGACTCTTTTTTTGGCCTCTGAACCCTGTTTGGAGCAAAAACTGCAAAGAACACGTCCCAATCCCCCAGATTTTTGTTCCCAACAGCCTGCAAATGTTGTGTTACAATCTCTCTAGCAGGGTTGAGTGGCGCTGCTTTTGTTTCTTCTTTTGTTACTATTTATGTGTTTTTTCAGGAAAAACAACAACAACAAAACACATAAAAGAAGGAAACAACAAAAAAAAACAACACAATGCCGTCCAAGGGGCTGGTGTACTTGCAGGCGTGGACCAGGCCCTTGAAGCGCTGGGAGCCCTGCACGTGGCAGCGCTGGCCAATGAGCTTCAGGCCCTCCTCGGGGGCCAGGCTGGTGACCTCCAGGCCGCTGAGCCTGCGCTTTCGGTGGTCAAAATCCAAATCGTCCCAGTGAACATCCCAATCCAACCACTAAAATAGGTTCTAAAATGGGTGGTAAATTCACCTACCCCAAAATGGTACCATTGGTTTTGACCCAAAGACATGTGGGTATGGGTCAACATTACACCATCAGGGGACCAGAGGTGTTCGTCCTTGTGTCTTTTGCTGCCAGAGTTCCGTTTTGGGTGTGTGTGCTTGTAGGTTACTTCTGGTTGGTTTCATGAGTGTTGCGGAGGTTCATGGGGCTTTCGCGGGGTTGTTCTTGGGGTAACTTCCATTTCCATTCTTTCCAAGGGATCCGGATCTTTCTAGAAAACCACCAAAAACCCTGCAAAAAGGGCTGGTTGTTGAAAAAAACAATGGCTGAAAAGAATGGGGAATCAACCCCTAGAGCTGTCATGTGGGTATGGGTCAAAATTAAACCATCAGGGGACCACAGGTATTTGTCCTTGTTTCCGTTAGCCAGGGTTCCGTTTTGGGTACCTAGTTTTGACCCACGCCCAGGTGTGTTTGTAGGTTATTTACGGTGGTTTCATGAGTTTTGCGGAGTTGCATGGGGTTTTCACATGTCTCCTTTTTGAGGCTCTATGAGGTTTCATTATTTCATAGGACTGGATTGACCAAACGGAAGACGAGATTCCAACACACAGAAGGGGATCTCCGAATGAACCCGCACATGCTACAACCTGAAATAAGATGAACTTGAGGGACCCCGAAATAAGCAGCTATCCTCATGGTGACTTTGTTTCATCCCCAGGTGAGCTCTGGGGTGGGGGGGGTTGGGGGGGTCGGCCTCAAGGCGGCAGTGGCCGCCGCCGGCAGCGGGCGCGTGGCCAACGAGCCGCGGAGCTTCGCGCAGGCGGACACGTCCTGTTCCTGAAATGAGTCACAATCAAAACCCAGTATTAAAATGGTCTACCCAGAACCATGTAAAGAACTAGAAAGGCGGCCGCAACTATTTCCAGCTGGGACTGCCCCTTACTAACCTTCATCTACCCGGGTGTTGATTGTGACTCAGATGAACTTCGGTGACGGAGGAATGGCTCCCGAAGGTCGGTTTAGGGGAGCAACCCAACTTAGGGAGTGTGTGCGTCCTGGGGGGTGAGCTACCCATATGGGCCATATTTTACCCTGCAACATCACCCCACAAAAAGCAAATAGCGGGCCCCAACCCATGTTTGAGGGGAATTGGACCGCTTTGCGGGGGAAACAATAATGTTAAGCCACTGGGTCCTGCTTTTTGCTTCCTTCACGGAAAGCATTGTGTAGCCCAAGGCACGTGGGGGGGTTGGGGCGTGCGTGATTTCGCCCTACATAATCAAAGGGCACCTGAAAGGGGACCTGACCAGTTGGTTGGGGCCCACTCTCAAACATCGCCTCTACTCCCCTGCAAGTGGGTGCGTGCGATACCCTTTCAGGGTTGGTTCAAAAAGAAGAGACAAGACACACCACATACCTAAATTTACATCGAACCCCAACGAGGGCGCCAGCTGAAAAAGGACGCACGCAACTGGCGGATTGACTGAACCCCTTCAAAAAACCGTGCATTGCCACCTTTGGGGGCACAAGGGCATACCTGGGAACCGCTAAGTTTAGGTATTTGTGCTCAAGCTCCGCCGCCCGACGACTCGGCACACTGGGTACTTTTAAAAAAAAAACTCAGATTCTGTTTCACATTTGCTTGCCAAACCTTGGTATGGTAGCAAAATACGTCGTTTGCTCAGCCCCGCCCACAAAAAATGAACAGAACCAAAAACTCACCAACTAAAACACGACAACAAATGGTGACGCTCATTCCACCCCAACACATAACACATATTTTGGAGAAGACTCCCCTTCGACGTGTCCATACCTCCCCCTCCAACGAATCGCGGAAGCCGCGCGCCGCGCGCCGCGCCTTGGACCCGGTGGGGGACACCAAGTTCGCTTGCGCGTCCTTGGGGGCACCGGTCAGCTGCACCCAGCAGGGGCACGTCAGCTGCGCCACCGCCTCCTCCGCTCGAACAAATCGACGCTTCGGATGGGGCGAGGTTGGGAGCCTTGGGAAAAACGAGTTGCCCCCAACCCAAGAAGGGTTCTCCGGGTTTCTTAGGGCTGAGGGAACCATTTTGGTGGGAGGGGCCCTCATGATTAGCCCTACTGTGGATGGATGAAATCCTGCAGTTCGTAGGTGGTTTATTCCAGAATCTTTGTAGGGCTTCATCTATCCCTGGTGCAAAGTGGACTTATTCACAGTATTGCCGGGAGCGTAACTCTGTGGACACTCCTGTGCTCCATCGCCGCCCACGCCGAAGGCCAAGGGCTGCGCATGCATCAGGCTGGCCACGCAGGCCTAGGTTTGTTAGAAGCCACTAGCCGTGGCGGGTTGGTTTGAAGAAAACTAAAACCACATATGGGAAATGTAAACAACTAAAGACAGACCAATGTCCTTCTGGCTTTCGTAAAAAAAGAAAAAGAAAACAAAACACCCCAAACGTGTACCCTCAAAAAATACGGCCGGGCTTGCATAACAACACACCTGACAATGTAGTCCCTTCTGAGCGAAGTATCACAATCATTCTTTACTAGCCTGAAAGAAGGGACACCCAAGAAACAAAAGCCATTCATGGGAGTGGCAAACGAAAGCCTACAGCGTTTGTGACGACTCTGCGATTCCTGGAGTACAAAGGACTCGAACCCGCAAGAGGGTTGCTGCGAAGACTCGTGGAGGGTAGATAATGTGTCCGTCATCAAGGGAACCGACGTAAACTGCTTACAAATGTTCTTCCAAATGTTCTTCCAAGAATCTTGGGACCTCAAAAAGAAGGGCCGGAAGCTGCGGTCCAAACTTCCAATGCAGATCCCTATGGAGGGATTTGGCAGTGTTGTCACCTCGGAGCGGCCCCGATAGACTCGTAGGATCCAACTCATACCCTAGGAAGGCCTTCAGGCCTCAGTTGCACTTACTGGTTCAGTTTTTTTTTGAAAGTTCAACAGTTATGTTGGACCCAGCCGCCACTAAGCAAAAGTGACAAAGACAAGATCAACAGATTCAACGATTCATCTTGGACGAGTCAGTGTAGGAAACCAGAAGCGGAAATAGGAACGGGGGGGGGCAGCGCACCCACCCAACCACCCAACCACGAAGCTCGCCCACGTTTCGCCAAGCCACAGCCAAGCTCTGACCTGACCCGGTGCGACCCTCCTTGGTCACAGAGACGTTGATAATCACCGGCACCCGCTCTTTGGGGTAGCAGCCGAAGTACTCCTCACAAGGACTCACCTTGGAAATTAAAGGTCAACCTTTGGGATCTTGACCGGAAATGGATCACATGGAATTGTCTCCCAAGGGAGTGTCAAAAAACAGAAAAACAGAAGGAGCCGGCTGTTCAAATTTCCAAGCCACCAACAACTACCAATTGCGTGTAAGATGACACGAGACATATCAGCAAGCGGGACTCGGCAAACACATGTGCTATAATCAAAGGTCATTTATTATGTAGGCCATGGTTTCCAGCCTTCCTTTGAAAGGTAGCAGGCGGCGCCAGGGTCACAAACGAGGCCATACTCGAACAATACCCAATTTTTTAGCTGCACAATCTCTCCTGGACGGCGTAGATGGCGGCCTTTGCGTTCAAGGTGTCCGAGACCATGTCCAGCAGCAACAAGTGAACCCCGCCATCCACGAGGCCCTTCACTTGCGGCCGATACGCCTGCGAGTCAACCCACTTGTGCGGGACCCAGGCAATCCGGCCCAAAACCGTTGGTTTGTTGACCTCCGTTTTAACCTTTGGCTTGTGGGTTTTAGCAAAGACAAACTTCGGTTGGTCGAACAGGGTCCCCCATCTTTGAGGTACAGGCTGATTTTGATTGTCCAGCAATGTCACTTGAATGGACTAAGAACGCAACAACACCCATCGGTTGCTTCTCTCCTGCTGAACCTGCCGTGCGAGAAACGCAAGCTTTCAGACCTCACCTTGTCAGCAAAACCTAGCTGCTTTCCCACTGGAAGTGTTCCAAACGGCATCGTGCCCAACCTGGGAAGACCGGCAATTTCAACGTGGGAAGTGCTGCTTGTTACCAATGGAACCCGTTTTTTGTATTGCAATAGACACCAAGCATTGTAGGAGCCCACTATTTTAAGACACACCCAATGGCCCAACAACTGGCCTTGAGAAGCATTGTCAACTGGATTCAAATTATGAGTTCAAGCCTTCTCCACCTGGGTGTGTATCAACATCAGAGCCCGCGTTTGGGAGCATTTGCAAAGGACACCAAATTCAAACTAACCAGTTCATCGGACGAGAATCAGCGGCACAAGAAACCATCCTTACTGCGAAAAATGAGTGACAACTAAGAGAAGCATTAAACACCTGGAAGTCTAAGGCTATTTGCCCAGATCCCCAAATACTACAAAAGTCGCAAAAGCCCCCGAACACCCCAAAAGCCGCAAAAACTCGCCACATGCCGAAAAGAAACACAACAAGATCTGCCAAAATAGAACAAAGGCCCCAAGAGCCACAAAGCCACGCCCAAAGCTCTGCCTGCACCATCTGGTCCCAAGTAGTCGTTGCCTTCACCGCCGTGAGGCGCCCAGTGGAGGGTCCAATCACCCCGGCCGCGAACTTCAAACTCCTCAGTTGCAACCAAAATAACAGGTTGACCTTAGGTTGACATAATCTGAAAACATAGGTTGGACATAAATTGAAATACTAGGTTGACCTTAGGTCGATGTTAAACATAGGTTCAGGGGAATTCTCAATGCTATCTTTAGAGCGCCTTTAGAACAAATAGAGCAACCATGAAAAACAAACCCAGCCCTTCCAGATACGATGACTCACCTCTAGGCTTTACCACGGATGGCTTCCCCAGCTTGCCTGTTGTAGCGGTAACTAGACTTGGTTGCTTTCAGCTCCCCTGCTAAAAGTTTAACTTTTAGTGGTTTAAATGGAACCTACCACTGGACACTAAAAGGCTAAAAAGCTAAGGGGGTGGCTGCGAGCCACCAAGCAAAATTGGAACAGGTCGAATGCTCGGCTTAGATTCTGCGGCTCTGCGCTGACTGCCTCCTGCACCGCCTGCTTCGCCAAAGTGGCCGCGGCCTGGCGGCCGGGCGGCCGGTTGGGGACCTGAACTCGGAGCCCCGCAGACCTCCAAAAAACAAAAAACAACAAAAAGCTCAGGTGATATCCCCAACAGCATGCGGTGCTCTTTGTAGTGCTCGCACCACCCCGCAGCCCTTGCAGAACCTCGTGGAACCCTCAGTGGAACTTTGGTGGAACCCTGGTGGAACCCTGGTGGAACCCTCGTGGAGCCCTGGTAGAACCCTGGTGGAACCCTTGTGGAACCCTCGTGGAACCTTACCTCAGGCCCGCCCCGGACCACCCTGGAGCCTATCTGGGCTGAGACCCCAAAGCTTTCAGCTGTTGGGGGAAAAAAAGAAGAGTTGGGATCGGTAGGGGCAGAAATGGCTGGGTCAAAAATGGGGTAACCCCAAAATGGGTTGCTCTGGTAAATGGAACCCATGATTAAAACAGGCGGTGCCCTGGTGGTCTAATTTTGACCCAGCAGATCCGATAGGTCCTCTCGGCAAACAAGTTGAAAGGTCTTATCCTGGAGCAAATATGAACACAAAAGGACTAAAGGAGGTGGGGAATCCTACGGTCAAACGAAACCAACGAAGGTTAAGTTCAATGAAAGCAACAGGATATTGGTCAAATAGCTTGGCTGTTCATAAAGTAAATGAAGCGGTTGGCCGAAACGGCCTTGTTCAGCTCATACACAGCCGCCCCGGTGCCGTAGTAGTCCTGAAGATGCCATGAACAGACCGCAGCAACATCGAAACGCTGTTGCAAGGTGGATGGCAAACGACTATATACGTGTCCTTTGCGGATGAGCTGCATGAATCAGCATTCCCCCGCCAAAGCAAGCTCGATTAAAAACGGGCCCTACCACAAAAAGGAGACATATTGGGAAGGCTGCGGCTTGAAACTATCAACATAGCTTCAGGGTTGCTCTAGACAACCTGGAAGGGTTGAAAATAGTTCCAAGGCTAGCCGGATTTGAACAAAACATCACCGAAGGGGAAACATACTGCAAATGAAAACACCAGTTGGGATGGAAAATGATACTACGAATTACTGGGACTAGGTCCTCCAGTAGAGAGGTTTGAATAAGGGTACCCTTTTGTCTGTAGTCTATTTTAGTAGGGGAACCCTCCCCAAAAAAAAACTAAAGGCACTAATTACTGGGGGACCTAGGGGATAAAGGGCACCTATACTAGCAGCTGCAGGGAGTCTCCATCCATCCACGGGAGACCGCCGACTCGCCTGTCCGCCTGTCCTGGCACAAGACGTCCCCGTTCCGGGTGTTGGTGCGGATCAGGTCAGCGCCCGCCTTCAAAAGGGCGCGGTGGGCATTCAGCACCAGGTCTGGCCTTGGCAGAGCATGGTGCTCAAACCCTAAACCCTGAACTGTGGCTCAAGAATATATGCCAAAATCGCACCTAGATATATACCTTGGTAAGTGGAACCAAAGACTAAAACCTGCGTAACCCTAGCTCTTTGGTACGTGGCTTCCTTTTGCCCTTCAAAACCATCCCATCCCTAGGGGTCACTTGTGTTTGGTTTCCCTCTCGATTGGGCACCACACCTTACTGCCCTACAGACTCACATGGAACTCCAAAGAAGCACCCATTTGCAGAGCAAACTCCTGGAAATTGGACCCCCCTTTTGGAGTCCTTCTTTCAAGACTTGTACTCGGTTGCTTTCTGCTCCCCTGCTCAAAGTTTAACCTTTAATGGTTTAATACGGAAAACCCATGAGTTGGCAACAAGTTAAAGTCCTAACATCCCTGGGCAAAATGCACCAAAGTGTAGGTGCCTACTGTTTGAGCGAACTTCCGAGCTGCTTGGTGATGGCCAGCAAGTCAAGGTTGTTCTTCGCGGAGGCTGGGAACCTCCCGCCGGTGAAGGATGCCTCGTCCTTGACGGAGGAGAGAAGTTCGGCGGGGCCGGCCGGGCCGTCCATGATCAAGACCTGAAGGGCAAAATGGGTGGGTCTTCCTTTTTTGGAGACCTGAGGGTCTTCCTTTGAAACCACCCCAAGAGACATGGGAAAATTGTGCCTGATTCTCTTTCTATGGGCAATTAGGTTGATCTCCGCAAAGAAGTACGTGTTCCTCAAGAGGACAAAAGAAACTGGGTGAACCCCCTGGTTGCGATAGAATTCAAGTTGGGCGATTCAAGCACCTTTTCCTTCCTTTGATTCCACTTTGATGAAACAGGGGTTGGTTGTTTAAACACGGTGCCGAACCCGAGTCAACTAGCCTAGAGCCCAGTGCCTGCTACTCTCTCGCTTGAAGAGGGGTCAAAGGAGTGCCAAAAGGTATCCCCCTTTCGGGTCAGCACATGGGTATGAGTCAAAATTTAGCCACCAGGGGACCGCAGGATTGAGTCGTTGGTTCCATTTGCCAGGGTTTCATTTTGGGGTTACCCGATTTTTGACCCACCGCCACACGTAGGTCATTCGACCTCAGGCCAAGAGCTCCGACGCGCACCGGCCGCCTGCTTGCTGAGCATCAGGTTGAGCTGCGCCAGCCTGGGATCGATCCCAGAGAATCCTTTGGTCCCCAAATGGTGGGACCCTTTGTCTCACTTGCTGAGTGCATGGCCCAAAAAAAAGCTCAAACTTTATATATATATATATATATACTTACCACTAAAATGGTCTTCCCAAAAAGTTTAAAGTTCATGAGCTTAGGAAGTGAGCTGTTGCTCCTTGATTGAATGGGAAACTCCAAGGACACCATCTGTTCAGGGACCCACTATCTTCAGGACACAATGACCTGGGGGGGGTTCCCTCCACACCTTTCAGAGGGTCATTTTCAGGGTGCTACTTTTGATGGAGCCATATGCCAGACTGAGGAGTTTAAACTGCATTTCGTGCGGGGGAGGTCCTGCATAGCATTGCGCTGGTGTATCCTTAGACACCAACCGAAAAGGGGTCTCCTACTTTGAGAAAAAAAAAGAAAAAAAACACATCCCGGTCGCAAGGCTTGGCACATTGGGAAATCTGCTTCCCACCCCCCCTGGAATGTTACAATGGGTGGCCCAAAACCAAAAACGAGATGCCTCTCTTTCCACGGGTCCTTCGTATTGGGAAGGTCTCCCTTAGACCGCCCCATGGATTCAGTGGGAAGCGCTTGGGGCTCCAACCCAGCAGTTGCGAAGAAAAGGGGAACCCTTATTTCTAGGGGTAACGTCCATGTCCATTCTTTCCAGGGATCCGGATCTTTCTAGAAAACCACCAAAATCCCAGGGAAATGGCTGGTTTTTTTTAAAAAGAACGATGGCTGAAAAGAATGGAACCCCGAGATTATTGCAGTCAATGCCATCGTTCAGAAAGCATCTCTATGTCGCCCACAGCAAGAGGAAACTCATACGCGTATGACCCTTGACTTGAGGAACCCCGTGGAAATATCACTTACGGGATTTGTGTCCACTTTCGAGGTTCCACCCAAAAAAAAACTGCCATCCAAACGTGGTCCGTGGAGTTCCTCGTGGTTTACCGTTAAACCAGCCTGAAATGGGTACCAACTCAGTGTTTCGCAAAAAATCAAGCTGTGTCTGAAAAGGCCAGGGTTTCCTTTCAGATGCCCTCTAAACCTCCATTTATGCAAAAGTTCCCTGGGAAAAAAAAAAAAAAAAAAAAAAAAAACAACATAGTCTCAGTAGTCAGAACTCCCCTTCAAAACCAACGGAAAACAAAACACAACACATTCCTCAATGCAAAAATGGACATAAATACCCACCCAAACTTGGGTCCCGTTTTGGTACCCAACCGCCGGCCCCAGGCCCCGCAGGGCCCAACTTCGGCCGCGCGGCAGCGTGCGCTCCGGGATCTTGGTGCCGCTGGACAGCGCGCTGGACACCTGCGAGCGGTTTTCGAGGGAGCGGAGAGCGGTGGGGTGGGCAACCCAGTTGGGGGAGGGGGGGTTGCTTTTAGAGAACCCCAAAATGGTAGGTGTGTTGGTTTCCCTGTAACCGAACTCAGCTGGGGGCTGTCGGTTAGGGAACCCCAAAATGGCGGTATGTCTTTTGGTTTGCCTAACTTTAAACCGCCAGCCCCAAAAGACAATCCTCAAAAAGAGACAGACCCGTTGCCCTCAAGGGGTTCAAATCCCCGAACCAACTGAGGGTTGCCTGAGAATTATGGACATTGGTTTCCAGTGGTCCAAACAAGTCACATTTACCACCCAAAAGGGACGCAAAGAGACCTCTTACTTTCTGTGGTTTTTGAGGGTGTGGTTCCTGTTTTTAAGTAGTGCTTTTGCTTTTGAAGGGGAACCAACAGGAGCCTAAGCATTTCGGGAATTTGAAACAAACCCTAAGTGGTCCAAACAAGTCTCTGTTTACTAACCCAAACTATTTGAATTTTGAGTCCTCTTACTTCCCATGGTTTTTGGACAGGGAAATGACCCGAAAACTATACCAAAGCTGGCCCTTTCACTTCAAAGGCATGCCCATGGCTGCCTTTCACAGTCTAGCCCTACCGTGAGTTGGGATGCACAAACAATCATACTTCATACTAAGTTCATGTTCTGTAGAACTACCCAGGAGTTTACCTGTTAGTAAGCCTTCTCACAGTGATCTTCCAAGTGGATCCCTCATTGTTTTTCCAGTATAGTAGGTGGCCCGCCATGTTCCTGTTGTTTTGGAGGCTTGCTCCCTTGGCTACCAAACAGGCAAATTGGAATCACTGGGTTGGCCATGGAAACAGGTTTGCCCTGGTGGACAAATTCCCCACCTATACGATGTCCAACAAAAGCCAAAAGGTCTCCATGAAAATGGGGTTGTGGGGAACCGCAAAGCAAAACCCCCTCAAAATCCCAGTGCCCAATCAAACCACCCTTAACCATGGAAAAGCAATCAACCCCATAAACTGTCGGCAACATCCACCGAATACAGGCTACCCTTAAACAATGGGGGGATCCACAAAAACTGTTGGCAATCTCCGCTCAGCGGAAAAACATCACCCCCCATAAATTGGGGAGCAATATCCACCGAATCTCTACCAAGTATCAGCAGCTGGAGGGTCCGAGAGCCAAATCTTGGTTGCTGTTGATCCCCCTGCAAAAAGTTTAACTTTTTGAAGGTTTAGTGGAAAACCCCTTGACTTCCCCAAAACATAAAATAGCAGTCAAGAAATGCCTCTTGACTTCGACCCAAATTCGACGCGCTCACGGCCTGCTGCTGCAGGGCCCCGGCGCCGCTGGCACTGGACACCCGCCAGGGCGCAGGGCGCTCACACCCCGCCTCCGCCGGCACCTGAGTCGGCCGCGGGGGGGGGGGGGGCACGGGACTCCTCAAGGAAACCCACAGGAAACCCATGGGAAGCCGAGTGGCCAAGTAGGTCAAGCCTATTCTTAACTTGGGTCCAAACTACTTAGTAGGTTATAAGTAGTACACAGGTGAGGGGGTCGAACCCGCAGATACTCCTGTTGTATCCATGATAATGGCCTGTTCAGGCGGATCAACATCCAAGTAACATGGGCAAGGACTCGTTTTCATTGGTGCTGAAAGGGGGCCCAAAGGAAACACGCCACTCTGAAGGTCGAAAACCTGAGGTTTTGGGGTCAAAAGCCCTCAACTCGAGGGTCGTGGCTTAGGATCGTTGAAAGGAAACCGCCAACGTTGAAAAACCCAAATTCTGGGAAAATCCCACTTAGCGGTGTCTAATGTTCAACATGAAGTTTCCTTGCTTCATTCTGGCTTCCTGAGTGGATGGGCCAAACAAAGTTCAAGCTCATTGCTTGCCACGAAACTGGCCTTCCACAAAAAGTACCAAGCCCATGGACACCAACGTCCACCAGCCACTCTTCTGGGTCCCCTCGCTTCGAAAGCATCATATGTTTTCCGTGCCGCTTGCCGGGTGGTTCACGGGAAGATCCCTCATCCTCATGCGTAGTCCGTAGCGGGACGCCACTACAACAAGGACACCACTACTAGAGTAAGGATCAAGAATCGATTTTTGAATAGTTGAACAGCCGGCAAATTAATTTTGATCCGCTTGGGATGCCGCTGTTCTGTGATATAAAATAAGCCATCTCTGTGACGACCCAATTTAACGACCACCCCAGAACTTGGCCATACTCATCCAGCCCAGAACCCCCATGGTCCACAACCATTCCTCTGAGTTAGAGCCGACTCGTAAGGGGAGCCATTGCAGCCGAACCTGACCAATTAGTGACTAGTGGCCTTTTTTCCCGGGCTAAACCATTTTGCACCGTAGCCTTCCCGCTTGTCTCTCTCGCGCCTGTGCGATCGGCGACACATAGGCGGGCTTCAGCCCTTGGAAGAAGTTCTTCTGACTTGCTGCGCCCCCTATCTGGCGGCTGTTCACGTACGGCGCCTGTGCCTCCTGGCGGCAGAGATGACCAACCCACGAGTGGGAGATGCACGTACATGCAACAAACAGGGATGTTAACTAATATACTCTTGTACATACATGTGTATATATATAATATGTAGATGGTGTATTTCAGGAAATATATAATCTGTACTAGGGGATATGTGGTTGCCTTTGTGTCGGCAAGTAAAGGGGATGCGCAAAACAACATGGGCGAGTTGTGCTAGCTCCTTTCACCCTACTGTATTTGGGTTAACAACGTATCACTACTCATACCAACAGTGTCTCACAGTGATTGTGATATATTCACAACACTCGTTGCAATTCTGCTTTTGGGTGTGCACAAACGCACCCACACACACCTATATATTTCTACATATATATATATATACACGTATTATCTATACAGTGTATCGTATACAGGGGTCCCTCCAATAGGAAACAAAACACACCCCGCGCTCGTAGGAAAGCGCGCTCAACGCAGAAAAGGGAGCCAATACCCAACGTTATACCTTGTTGGGGCGGGTTGAAAAGGAAATGACAGCCCCTATTTTGAGACACACTCATACTAGGTCCTCCAGTGGAGAGGCTAGAATAATACACCTTTTTTCTGTAGTCTATTTAGTAGGGGAACAGTCCCCCCAAAACGGGTAAAAGGGCACCACTGGGAGACCTAGCATAGGTTCGGAGCAACCCACTGATTTCTTGCAGCTTCCCTTTGGCATCCCTTGATCCGGGACCTCGCGCCTTGGCTGCCGCCTTGCACTCCGGAAGCTCCCACCAGGCATCGGCCAAAGGTGCCTCGTTGGCCGCCTGACAAGCTGGCATGGAGGTTCAATGCTTCAGTAAACCATGGTTGTAACGTGCACCTATGGTTGGAAGTAAACCAAGCCTATGGTTGGAAGAAAACCAAGCCCACGGTTGTAAGTGAACCAATTCTTTTGTTCCACTTGTATCCCTGGGTTTACCAGACTTGTTGAGTAAGTAGGCCGCATATTCAAAGCCAGCGGCTGAAAACGGCCGGGCTGCTTTGCCTTCTTGAACCATTTTCCTGGGACTCGCCCAAACGAGGGTGTCATGGCGAGAGACAAACCATCTTGGGGTCATATCATCCCTGCTTACCTTTGAGAATCTCCCTAAACAAACAAGCCGCCCCTCACATAAGGCATTTCATGCTTTCGACGCCATATTCTCCTAGGGGGTACAAAGGCCAAGCCTGCTCCATTACTCTGAACACTGTTCGCACGGGAAGAAAAGGGGTGGACATAGAACTGGGCCCGTGGAAAAGAGAACGCACAAAAAAACCAGGCGCTACGATCATCGTTGGTTGACTGACTTCCTGGCCACTGGAATGGTCCAAGCCCAAACATATCAAGTCCATGGAAATGAACATTGGTGTTGCAAAGAACATTCAGAGAGCTACTCTTAGAGCGTCCCTTATTTGCGGATGTTCTTTCCGCGCTGCTTGCTGTGATGTTCAAAATGGGAAGACCCCAACCCCCCAGCCGGAATCCGTCATGGAAACCACTACTAGCATAAGGACTAAGAATTGTTTCTTGATCCAAATCTTGTTTAAGTCATGATCTTAATCATATTAGTCTTCGAAGGGGGTATGTTTGGGGGGGCGGGTTTGGGGATGGTGGTGTCTTGGGGATCCCCGCACAGTAGTTTGAGGCTCCCACATATTGTGGGTGTCTCTCAAAACGAGGGCGTGCCCCACCAAATTGGTTTCCACCAACAACACACACCAAAAAGGAAACCAAAAGGAAACCAAACCCTTTTTAGGTGGGTACCTGTATAGGTGGCTTTCCTTTTGGCTTCCCTTTGAACCCACCTAAGGGTTCCCACCAACACAGCCATATCCCAGGCCTGCAGAGGCAAACACACCGCGGCGCCGCTGCGCACGCTGAGGAAGGCCATAAAGCGACGCAGGGCCGACTCATCCTTCTTGCTATTGAGGATCACATCCTCGCAGACCTGACAAACAACTGTGTGGGTGTGGGACCTTGTTGAGTAAGGTTTAAAGGAATCTAAAAGGAAACAATGTTGAGGGACCATTTTGAAAACGGTTTAAAGGACAACCAAAAGGACAACCAAAAGGACAACCAACAGGACAACCAAAAGGACACCAAAAGGCAAAGGACTCCAAAAAGGGAAAACAACATTTTGGGGTTCCCTATTTTGACACGTGCCCAACTCACTTCCTGAGTGGTTCCCGTTGTCCGAACAAACATCACCAAGGGAGACCTGGCCAAAAAGGTGATGCTTCGCACCACTATACGGATCCCTGCACTGCCGCGGGTGGGCCAACCAACGCCCATTTTAGCTCTTTGTTCAACAAGGACATGGTCCAAAACACGTCCAAGTTGGGAAGTGGCCAGGGCTCCCAAAAAGGACCCGGAACGACCAGTTTGGCAGAGTAAACCTGTGGGCCATACATGGGTGCCTCAAAATAGGGGACTTTGAAACTGGCGTTACCTGTAGTTCAAGCAACCCCTAACAGGGTACAAACAATAGTTGTGCGGAGGACTGCCCTGACGCCGTGAGTGGTTCCCAGGGTCAACACCGCTGCCAGCCAATCCGCGAAAAGCTCCAAACCGCCGGAATTGGCTGAACCCCTTGCATCGCAGGCCTGCAGCATTTCCGGGTCCAAATTCTCGTAGATCGGCAAGCGACCCGTGGTCAGGGCCATGTTCAAGCCTCAGGGACTTCCGGCGGCTCACGCCCTTTCTCTAGCTCCATTGAGCCATATAGTACCCGCACCATCCAACTAGCCCAAGCAAAGCATGGATGCCCCGAAATCGTGAGATGGTGTCCGCTTTTGCGGGTGGTTTTAGGGTCCAGGTAAGTAACCGAGGGACTGTCAAAGGAGCTCCCTTAAAACATCCTCAGCTTTTGCCCCCCCCCCAAACAAGCATCGCATGTTTTATTCTGGTCCATTTTGAGTGAATCTTACAGTGCAACAAAACTGTCACGACCGATGCCTTTTGGCTAAACCGATGGAAGAGCTGGGGTTTTCCAAGGGAGAAACCCTCACTTTGAATTGGCCCTTCCAACAAAGTGGCATTTGTCTGCCACCCAAAGGACAATCTAGTCGGAACTCCGTTTTGCTTCTTCTTTAAAGGCGGTCCTTGCGGAACATAGGCAGCTCCCTCTGAACATCAGCCCTCGGATGCATGATTCGTGATGGCACGTAATATGTTTGGAAGCCAGTTTCTTCTCTTCATTGCTTCTGCACCAATAAGAACAACAACTGAGAAAGCGACCCATTTCAACCCAAGCTGGCCATCTCCCTCTTGGTTTCACTTGTACTGCCGGCCCTCAACAACAAGAAGATCCCATTCACACAAATGTTTGGGGACCCCACAACCACCCCCAAGAGTCAATGGCTGCTCTTCGACCTTCTTCGGCTTTACTTGGCGCCCGCTGTGCGTCCAGGGCTTTTCAAAGGGTTTCAGGTCTATATCTATTTGGTCTTGCACTTCCTCCTTTCACTTGGCTCTTGCACTTCTTCCTATTTTTTCCCTTCCCTTTTTCAGCCTCGACGCAAACAAAAAAGAAGGGTCAGAAGTCAGAACCACAAATCCCTCGACTCGCGACCTCTCTCGCCGTCCCCTTGCGCGCGCGACCGCATCTCCGTCCCCGCGCGCCTAAGGGCACGGAGTGGCGCAGGAAGACGCTGTGCAGCGCCTCGCGGAGCTGCCGCAGCTGGCCGAAGGCGGCGCTCAGGTTGCTGAGGCCGCAGGCGATGCTGGCGTGGGGGCAGAGGCCTCGGGGGAAAAAAGAACACGGCCGCGGCCTGAGGGAAGATCCTGTTTGACTCCAAAGTTGCCCATTATTTAGGAGTAGCATTTTTTGGAGGGTACCCCTTCTTTGGCGGTTTTAAAGGGAAACCAAAAGGAGAATCCTTCTCCTTTTTTTTGGAGGGGGGTCCCTACAAAAAGGAGAATGGCTGGTTGCCTATTGTACTGGCTACTGAAGCTACGGGTGATTGTCAACCGCCATTTTGCAACCATTTGTTCGTAAGTGGGAAAAGGATCATCCATGTCCTGCTCGTTTGCTGGTCCCTCAAACCTAGCCAGATCATGTAAAGACATCCATGGCAAAACAAAGAGGTACTTGACAGCACTGGGATAGGTAACCAGTGAAACCACCTTAAACAATAGATGGACGCTCCAACTGGCTACATGTAAAAACACTTTCCCTGGAAGACCAGCCATTAAAAGCAATGGGTCCGCCCAACCGCCAGGGTCACTGGCAAACCACTTAACGAAGTGTATTGGCGCTTCGTTCAAGAAGGGCACGCGTTCCATAGTAGTTTATGTTTCAAGACGTCCAAAAGAAGGCGTTTCTCAAAATAGGGGTCCCCCAAAATGCTTGGCTGCCCTTTTGGCTTCCCTTTGAAGATCAACCAAAGGGGGTCCACCATTTTGAGAAACTTCCAAAGGAAATAAATTGAGCCGCTCTTGGATGTTCTAACCCATGGCAGGGAGCTAACCCCAGTTGCCCCAGTCTACCTCCGCGGGTTGAACATCCCCGCTGGGTCTCTGGGTCCAGCTCAAGAGCCATCGAATTTCTCCCCAGTCACATCGGCCGAACCCGACTCGGATCGAGGTGCGGCGGGTCTCTTTGATGGCGGCGATCACCTCCGACGGGTGCTCGTCATGTCGCAGACTCTGCAGGTGGACGTCTAGGATGATGTCCTGCGCATCGAATCGGACCAGGCAGCCAGTACCATGAATCTTGGGAGTGGGAACCCGACAGCAATCCCCACCTACATGGTCCGCCCAAAGGGTCCAACAAACAATCATACCCGTACAAGCTTACTATGGGGTGTATGAGCCCGTCTCACAATGAATAATCCCTTTTGGATCGGTATTACAGGGAAACCAAACAGCAACAGCACATTGTGTTGGGGACGACTGTTTTGAGAACCACCCAAATACTGGCCACTGTTTCCCAAAACAGGTACGCCGTGACACGCCATACCTGAAAATCCCGCACGACTTGTTTTAGGGTAGGTCTTGAAACGAGTATTCCCGGGCAAATATCGGGGTCGAGGTCAAAAGGAGACTCCAGGTATTTGCCCGTTTTTCAAGTGTCTCTGCTACGGGGAAGGCTTACCCCCTTCGGTGATGGGTATGTCTCAAACCTGAAATGTATTGATTCCCCCCAGAAAAGGAGAACCACCCCTGATGGATCTGGTCCTCCGGATCAATCCAAAGTTCACATTATAGTTCACCAAGCGAACTCAGGGACTCCCAAGAAAGAACCCATCATTGGCGACCAAACCCCCCGAAACATGAGGTCGTTATACTGCTAGCCAAATCCTTGGGGTGCTCCAAGCCCGCAAGCGATTTTGGGGGCCGTTGAGTTGGATTCGGACACCTTGTGTCCGAATCGCCACAGATCCATGGACCTTCCCCTCCCAGACGCTCCCGATTTATGTTGGGCCCTGAAACAGCCAGGTTCTGAGACCCCAACACCCCTCTGGGGTGTCCAATGGACAGTCTGGGTCTTCCAGAGAAAGCGGATCCGGTTTCAAGGTCCTCCGCGGGGAAATCCAGCTTCTGGCGCAGCAGCTTGTAGCTCCGCTGCAGGAGTTCCACCTGCGCTTTTGTTGCGGGAGTCTTTGTCTGTGAAGAAATGGCCATGGGTCATCCCAATCCCCACTAAAATAGACTAAAATGGGTGGTGAATTCACCTACCCCAAAATGGTACCATTGGTTTCGACTCACAGTCAAATCTGCTTTTACCACAGGACATGGTCAACATGGTGAACACTGTTTGGGATCGTCGAGGTAATGGTGACAACTGACTAGTACCCCCCCCCCTTTAAGGTCGACAAGGCTTGGACAAGTCCCCAAAACTGACATTTTTGGAAGGACCCCCCTGGTTAATCTCGAGCCCCTTCGGTCCTCGTCCTCTTACTTCTGGCCCATTCTCGGCAGTAGGACTTTAAAAGGCAACAGCAGTTTTTGGGTTTTGAGCCCAAAAGGGCCAAGGGAAGCACATGTTTGACGAAAACTTGAGGGGTTCAATAGTAACTTAGTATTGGTGGGCTTAAGCACAGACCAAGCAAATACTAAGCAAGAAGGACAGTCCCTTTTCTGGCAGGTTCTTTTGGCTTGGGGGCTGCAGAGGGATACCTTTAATCGGGGGGGGGGGGGGGGGTTTGGGGAGGGCCCACAATTTATTGGGTAGGTTTTTGTTGGGGGGAAACCTTGTTGGCCCTTTCCTTTAATATTGGTGAGAACCTGGGGGGGAAAAGGGGAAACCTATAATCGGGGGGGGGATTACCGGGTTACTAATCGTCTCCTGACATTACCAAGAAAAAGACAGGAACACGATAAAGCCATTGGGTTTGTCTAAAACAGACCTTGCGGGGCATAACCCTTTCTGTGATAGCAAAATTTGATTCCCATCCCCTAGACCATTAGACTATGACACTTGAAAGGGAATTATCTTGGCCGCTCACAGAAATTCATAACCTGAGACAAGTAGCTTTTGGCAACGTGGAAAAAATACAGCACCCTATCACTAAGAAAAAACAAGCAAACGAGACAATCCTCTAAAAGCGCCACAATGGAAGCAGACCCCACACAAATAAACCGTCAAATCCACAATCTTTCACTACGGCCTGGTTTTGATTGTTTCTGTTCAGCTCGGCTCCAGAATTCGAAACCTGTCCACTTGGGCTGGGAACAGGGTTCAGATACATCCCACTTCACGAGAGAATCGTTCAAAGCATCTCATTTTCAACATGGCCTGAAAAGGCGGGCCGCCTTCGGCACGGCCAACCCAAAGGCAATCAAGTGCCTGAACGGATCCCTTGTGAGAAACACCAAAATGTGTCACTCAAACAAGGAAACCCTGGCAACCCGGCAAACAAATCAGTCCCATATTTTGAGGAACACCAAAATCTGGATTTGTCCCAAAATTAGAGAACCCCTGAACTGGCATGATGTTCATGTCGGTTTCCAAAAACGACACGCCCATGCATCCATTTTGCAGCCCCGCCTTATCCTTGGAGGTGACTGCCCTGCCCTGCTCGCCCACCGCCATGACCACGAGCGCCGCCCCATGCTTCAGACACTCCTGCGGTATGCCGCAAGATGCGGTGCACAGCGATTGCCCCCTGGATCTTCCTGGGTTTGCGCTTTAGGGCTTGGGCAAACTGATCGTGTCTCTTTGAGGGCATCCTTGCTGGTTATTTGGCGACGCAGAGACAAGCCCAAGAATAAATTCGCCTCGGCCCCAAAGGGGCCAAGGGCGCTCAGATCTCTTCTCCAAAGAGAATCTTCGCTTTTCCCCTCCCCCAACCCCCTCCCCAACCAAAATTTTGCCGGGCCGCCCCCCCCCCCGGCTGGCCCAAAATCCCACTAAAAAAATCCTTTTTTGTCCTGAAAAGCATGACCTCCTGCTGGCCAGGCCTGGCCCAAGCTTGTCTGAAACAGGCCTGACCCAACCAGCAACCGCCCAAGCACGGTTCCAAGTCATCCAGCAAGCCCAGGCCCAGGCCGGCCCCCAGCTCCCAGCGTGCCAAGGCTGAGACTGGCCTCAGGCCAACGACCAGTCTCATTGGCCTGAGGCCAGTCTCACGTGTCTGAGACTGGTCTCAAGCTACGCCAGCTACTAAGCCTGTCTGACGTGCAGCCAGCTCAGCCCAGGCCGACCTCCTGCTCGCGTCTGGCCCCAAGTCATCCAGCACCTTCGGCGCAGTCTGACACTGGTCTCAAAGTATGCCAGCCCTCAGGCCCAGTCCCTCAGCCCGCCTGCTGGCGTGTCTTACGTGTCTGCGACTGGCCTCAGGCCCAGCCCAGCCAGCAACTCGCCACCCAGCCTCAACGCCAAGTGTATGAAACAGGCCTTGCCCATCCAGCAACCCACCCTGCCCAGCCAGCGCATGCATGTCAGCCACTAGGCCGGCCCCCAGCTCCCAGCCCACCAGCAGCCCAGCGTGCCGGTCTCAAGCTATGCCAGCTACTAAGCCTGTCTGACGTGCCCCGAAAGGCGGGCAGCTTCGCTCATCATCCAGGCGGTTCCGGAGACAGTGAGAGACGAGATGATCGCCACGAATACGGTGTCGGCCTACGGGGCGATCTGTAGGCTTCTGGTAGTGTATCAACCAGGAGGCCTTGGAGAAAAAGGAGTGGTCCTACGGGCGTTGGAGGAGCCGGTGGAAGCTGCTACGATCCCGGAGGCGCTCAAGAGTTTGAGAAAGTGGCTGAGGTGGAGGCGGCGGGCGAGCGCCCCTCAGTCCGGCTGCCCAAGCAGCTCAGCCCCAGGCTGGCCAGGCCTTGACCTCCTGCTCGCGTCTGGCCCCAAGTCATCCAGCAGCCTCAGCCCCTTCGCAGTCTGAGACTGGTTTCAAAGTATGCCAGCCTGACTTAGCCTCCTCAGCCCGCCTGCTGGCGTGTCTTACGTGTCTGCGACTGGCCTCAGGCCCAGCCCAGCCAGCAACTCGCCGCCCAGCCTCAGGCCCAAGTCTGTATGAAACACTGAGACTGGTCTCAAGCTACGCCAGCTACTAAGCCTGTCTGACGTGCAGCCAGCTCAGCCCAGGCCGACCTCCTGCTCGCGTCTGGCCCCAAGTCATCCAGCACCTTCGGCGCAGTCTGACACTGGTCTCAAAGTATGCCAGCCCTCAGGCCCAGTCCCTCAGCCCGCCTGCTGGCGTGTCTTACGTGTCTGCGACTGGCCTCAGGCCCAGCCCAGCCAGCAACTCGCCACCCAGCCTCAACCCCAAGTGTGTATGAAACAGGCCTTGCCCATCCAGCAACCCACCCTGCCCAGCCAGGCCCCGGCGCATGCATGTCAGCCACTAGGCCGGCCCCCAGCTCCCAGCCCACCAGCAGCCCAGCGTGCCGGTCTCAAGCTATGCCAGCTACTAAGCCTGTCTGACGTGCCCCAGCCCCTCAGTCCGGCTGCCCAAGCAGCTCAGCCCCAGGCTGGCCAGGCCTTGACCTCCTGCTCGCGTCTGCAAGTCATCCAGCAGCCTCAGCCCCTTCGCAGTCTGAGACTGGTTTCAAAGTATGCCAGCCTGACTTAGCCTCAGGCCCAGTCCCTCAGCCCGCCTGCTGGCGTGTCTTACGTGTCTGCGACTGGCCTCAGGCCCAGCCCAGCCAGCAACTCGCCGCCCAGCCTCAGGCCCAAGTGTGTATGAAACAGGCCTTGCCCATCCAGCAACCCGCCTCAAGCTACGCCAGCTACCAAGCCTGTCTGACGTGCCCCAGCCCCCCAGTCCGGCTGCCCAAGCAGCTCAGCCCAGGCTAGCCCCTTCGGCGTCTCAATCAAGGTATGCCAGCCTGAGACTAGCCTCAGGCCCAGTCCCTCAGCCCGCCTGCTGGCGTGTCTATTGGGGATATTTTTCCGGGGTACTTAAGCAAATGGAGGTTTGTATTCCCACCATGTACCTGTCTTGGGCTGAGCAACCGAGCAAGAAATGTATGTCATGGCAAGCCGCCAGCCACGTGAAATGGAGGTGCCCAAACACCCAAAGTTGGTCTTGGTTCGCCTCGGCCCCAAAGGGGCCAAGGGCCGCCCCCCCCCCCCCACCCCCCCCCACCCATGTCGGCTGGCCCAAAATCCATTTTTGTCGAAAATGTGCTGACAATTTCACTAAAAAAATCCTTTTTTGTCCTGAAAAGCATGACCTCCTGCTGGCCAGGCCTGGCCCAAGCTTGTCTGAAACAGGCCTAACCCAACCAGCAACCGCCCAAGCACGGTTCCAAGTCATCCAGCAAGCCCAGGCCGTTTGTCTAACGTGTCTGAGACTGGCCTCAGGCCAACGACCAGTCTCATTGGCCTGAGGCCAGTCTCACGTGTCTGAGACTGGTCTCAAGCTACGCCAGCTACTAAGCCTGTCTGACGTGCAGCCAGCTCAGCCCAGGCCGACCTCCTGCTCGCGTCTGGCCCCAAGTCATCCAGCAGTCAAGGTATGCCAGCCTGAGACTAGCCTCAGGCCCAGTCCCTCAGCCCGCCTGCTGGCGTGTCTATTGGGGATATTTTTCCGGGGTACTTAAGCAAATGGAGGTTTGTATTCCCACCATGTACCTGTCTTGGGCTGAGCAACCGAGCAAGAAATGTATGTCATGGCAAGCCGCCAGCCACGTGAAATGGAGGTGCCCAAACACCCAAAGTTGGTCTTGGTTGTTCAGTGACACCAATTATTGTTCCCCTTTTTATGGAGGCCAAGCCCCACTAAAAATGCTCATCCCCAGAAAGAGGTCCTTTTTTTTCCAAGGGCACTGAGCAGCTGAGATAGTCTTGGTTTTGGATTTCAAACCTTCCGAGCAGGACGGCTTCCGAACATCGAACTAGCACGGGCGAACTGGTGCGGTCACAAGCTTTCAGTAGGATTCGGACCTTCCCAACACTGGATTTCGGTGTTCCTGACCCTTCCCTCAAACTAGGCTGGGCCGAGGCGGGCAACGCGAAGCGTTTACAATAAATAAACACATAAACAAATAAATAAATAAATAAATAAATAAATAAATAAATAAATATATACATACACATATATATATATATGTATGTATATATATATATATGGTACCCCCCCCCCCAAAGATCGACCATTTTCTGTGCTTTATCTCTGAAAAAATCAAAAAATCAAGGTCCTGGAGCAGCATGCCCAGACCCAGTGACTATCTCTCTCAAGGCCTTGATTTTTTTTGATTTGTTTGATTTTCTCGAGGTTTTTCACTTTTCCAGGTCAGAATCTCGGAAAGTGAATAAACCTCGAAGAAATCAAAAAAATCAAAAAAATCAAGGTCCTGGAACAGAATGCCCAGACCCAGTGACTATCTCTCTCAAGGCCTTGATTTTTTTGTTTTTTTTTTAATTTTTTTGATTTTCTCGAGGTTTTTCACTTTTCCTCAGAATCTCGGAAAGTGAATAAACCTCGAAGAAATCAAAAAAATCAAAAAGAAAACAAAAAAAATCAAGGTCCTGGAGCAGAATGCCCAGACCCAGTGACTATCTCTCTCAAGGCCTTGACTTTTTTGATTGTTTTGATTTTTTTGATTTTCTCGAGGTTTTTCATTTTTTTCAGATTCTGACCTGGGCATTCTCTCCCAGGACCCTGATTTTTTTTGATTTTTTGATTTTTTTGATTTCTTCGAGGTTTTTGTAGCTTCATGGGTTTCTTGCCCTTCGCCCCTGAGCATCTTCCTTGCAGTGTTGGAGCTTTTGCTTACAGAGCTGCAGTTTTGCAGCCCTGCCAAGTCTGTATTGCAACCAAGGCCTGCAGTGTTGGAACTCTTGTTGGAAATGCCTTGCTTGCCTGTAGTTTGGCAGCCTTGCCAGGGCAGCAGGGAAGCCTTCAGTGTTGAAACTTTGGCAGGTGAGGCGCTCAAGTCTTGCAGAGGCCTTAGTGTTCAACTCTTGCCAAGTGGGTTGCAGTTTTGAGCTGGAACCCAGTTTGGCAGCTTGCTTGGGCAGAGTGCTGGAAGTGCCAGTTTGCTAATAAAGTCTTGTAGCAGGTGGCAAGAACCCTTGCCAGGGTATTGAAACTTGGCAGGTTGGCAGGTTGCAGTTTTTTACAGCCTTAGCCTTGTTGGAAATTGTGGAATGTTGCGCTGGGCCAGCAACCAAGTTTCAAGCCTTCCTTGCAGTGTGGGAGCTTTGGCAGACAAAGCTCCCAAGTTTGTTTTGCAAACAGGCCTGTGTTGGAACTTCTGTTTGAACTCGCTTGTCTGTAGTTCAGTGTTGGTGCAGTTGGTTGCAGATTGGATTGGCAATTTTGCAACCTCCAGGTCTGTAGTTTGGCAGCCTTGCTTGGGAAGTCTTGCAGTGTTGAGTTAGCAAGGGGTTGTAGTTTGCAACCTTGCTCTGCAGTTTAGCAGACTGCTTGGCAGGCTTGAAAAGCCTTGCAGTTGGGTGTGCCTGCAGTGTTGGAGCCTTGCAGTTTGGAATTTGCAGCCTTATTTGTAGTTTGGCAGACCTTGCAGCAAGTGGGAAGCCTGCAGTGTTGAAACTTTGGCAGGTTGGCAAGGTTGGCAAGGGCTGTAGTTTTGCAACCCTGCAGTGTTGGAGCCCTTGCCAGGGCCCTGCAGTTTAGCAGACTTGCTTGGAAAGTCTTGCAGTGTTGGAGCTGGCCCTGCAGTGTTGGAAACTTGCAGGTTGGCAATTTTGCAACCTTGCCAGGTCTGTAGTTTGGCACCTTTGCTTGGGCAGTGCTTTGGCAGGTTGGTAGGGGTTGCAGTTTTGCAAAGCCTTGCAGTGTTGGAGCTGCAGCCCTGCCAAGTCTGTTTTGCAACCAAGGCCTGCAGTGCCTGCAGTTTAGCAGACTTGCTTTGCCAGGTCTGTAGTTTGGCAGCTTTGCTTGGGCAGTGTCTTGGAAACTCTTGAAGTTTTGAAACTTCAGGTTGCCAGGGGCTGCAGTTTTGCAAAGCCTTGCATTGCAGCCCTGGCAGGTGCGCAATTTTGCAACCGTCCTCAACAACACTGCACTTGAATGTCGACCCCAGCATATGCACATCTGTTTCTTGCAATAACGTACCGCATCTTTCTCAAAACACAGAAAATGGTCGATCTTTGGGGGGGGATAGCATATATATATATATACATACATATATATATATATATATGTATGTATGTGTGTGTGTGTCACTGAGGGACCTGCAAAGGGGCGTTCAACAAAGAAACACCCAACATCACCCTTCCCAGGGTCCCTGAGGAAGTAAGTTGTTTAAGGTTGGTTTCAACGAAGTACTCAGCGACATGGTAGAGCTTCTTTTCGGGTGTACCGGCCCATACACTGGCACCAGGCGGAGCCGCCGCGGGTGTGTCGATTGGTGCCGTACATAGCTAACATTGAGATGAAGCCTGAGCAATGGCAACTATACACCGCAAAGGCTGTGGCACAATGGCAGCGCGCCCTGGGGTTCACCGGGGAGGTTGCAGGTTCAAGTCCTGCTAGCCTTATGGAAGTTTAATTTGATGAACAAGACACCACCACCAAGATTTGGTTGGTAGCTTCCCCGTCAAATGCCAAACTATAACTAAGTTGACAACATGCAGAGCACAATGTGCTGGGCCCTTTACACCAAGCCAGAAGGGGGTTCTCTTCCAGGCAATCTCAAACCCATGCGATCAGAGTTTCTATTCGTGTATTCGCTTTGTTTTCGGGGGGGAACTTTCTTCCTGCCACGGAGGCTGGGCTCACACAGGCCATGGTGGCGACAACCATTGCGTGGCCTTGCGGAAACTTAAGAGCGCCGGGAGAAGTCTGGGCGCTTGAAACACGCGCATTGACCCAGTTCTGCACACAAACGCCCGCAACTTACCGTAAACTCCTTGAACCAGGCAACGCCAGCAAATACGCCCGCAAAAAAATGGGCAAACGCCGGTGAAAAATACGCGAAAAAACGCTAAAACGCCTTGAGAATCAGAACGCCTAGGAATTCCTCGGCATTGGAATCTCCAGGTTGGGTTCTTTCTGGGAAACCAAAAGGCTGGGAAACCCAAAGGCTAACGGACCGGCGACAAACACATTTGCTCTATCAAAGAAACACACACACACACACACACAACAATACTTGGTCGGAAATCCCATGGAATTCGACACACTTGGAAGTTTCCAGACTGCTGTAACAACAGGCTTCCCTATATTCACGACGAAACAATAGCCAAGAGAGCCAAGAGTCATCTCTCGTTCTTGAATTGGCGTAACCATCAAGCAAATAAAACAACCGGAACCCCATAATCAACTAGCCCAAACCGCCGGGGTCGCCAGGATCTATGAGACTGGGGATGCCACCATCGGCCAGCGTGAAAGACAAGCTGACTCGGAAAACCAAAGCGAAAGGCTCAAAAGATGAGGCAACACTCCCACCAACAGAGTTTCACTTGCGTTTGATCCCCTCTTTTCAATGAGAATTCAAAGATATCAAAAGGACACCAAGAGCTTTTACGAAACCGATTCCTTTGAGAAACCACGAAGACCTTTTTCCCGGCCGCGAATCCATGCGAATCGAACTTCGCGCCTTGGCGATGCGGAGGAACTCATCCTCCCCCAGCATCAGGCACAGCGCGTTCACGATGCACCTGCCCTGCAGGTGCCCCAGGCCCGCCTCGCAGGGGGAAACGCCAACAAGAGAAGCTCTGGGTCGACGATTTGTGGAGCTTTCGCCAAACAAAAAGGGAAACACACACACACACACACACACACATTGGTGCCACTGAACTGGTTGAAATCAACACATTGGTGCCACTGAACTGCGTGAAACCGTTCAAAGCCACCCGTCCAAAACAGAAAAAAGGTCGTGCCTTTTTAACGAGACACGCCCGAAAAAATGGGGGAGGTCCTGTTGACTGTGTCTTTTCATTGACCTTCCCGGGTCCCTGTGTCCTTGAAATTCTCTCATTGCCTTTGGTTTGCCTCTAGGAAAAACTTTCTCCCATCTCCCAAACCCCTTGTCCCAAAAGCAGTGCAATGCAGTCCTCGTTCCCCTCTCCAGGCAAACCACAGGGGGGTCTCTCCTCCTACCCCTCCTTCCTGGCAAGGGGGCCTTGTTGCCAGCTTTCGTGGAAAAATGATCAACCCTCTCGTTGTGAAGGATTCCTTTTTGAGGGGCCAATTTTCTCACCAAAGGTGGCAAAAAAGACCCCCCTGCTTCCTTGGCGCTTCCGTCAACTACGAGCTCCAAGTCGAGTCGTTCCGGATCGACTGAAACGACTCGTCGCCTTCAGCACCTTCCAGTCCGCCGAGCACAGCATCACTGGGGCTTTCGCCACCCGCGCGTCCTCATCGTACAAGGCACCTCAGCGAGGTTTCCGAAGCAGCGCCCAATACCCCTCCCTACGGTGGATGCACCAAATGTTGCAAGTAGGGAAGAAGGAAAACCCTGGTAAATTCCTGTCTGTGGCTGGTTTACTTGCAGTATTTAGAGCATCCACCGTCCCGCAGGAACCTGAAACCTCATTCTTTGAGGTCTTTTGGGGGCTCTTGGTCTTGGGTCCCTTGACTTTTGGTTCTGACAAAATGCCGATGGACTACAAGATCCATCCATGATTCCATGGAACCCGACCTAGGGCATTTTGGTTCTGAAGGTTTGCAAAGGCCGCACTGGAATCCCCACTACTAGACCGGTAGTAGAAGCACCTGCTGAATTGGCCAATTCAGATGTTGGGGGGTCAATTGGATACTCACCATCTGCTCCCAGTTGCAGGCTCAAGGGTTGCTCTAAAGAGTCTGAACAACTGGCTGCCAATCAGGAAGTCTGAACAAAAAGTCATTATCCATCCAAAAAAAAGTTTTAGGCGATTCACCCAGACTGCCAGTGGCCACTTGGGAACATCCGCAGTCGCATATTTTTCAGGGACGCCTCGTCCACAAAAGAAACGAAGGATGCCGCTGGAGGTCTGGGGCAGAGCAAGAGGGAGTGACGCGAACTGATGGATCCCAGCCCTCCCAAAGTGGCAGTGAGTCAGTAAAGCCCACCAGCAAAATCAATACACAAAAACCGACTGACTGACTGACTGATTGACTGACTGACCGACCCACCGACTGACTGACTGACTGACTGGCTGGCTGGCTGAGAACGAATGCACGAACGAATGAATACATAAAACAGACAACTTGCATTATATAATAGTACTTAACAAAACAAAGTATAATAACAACAAATGATAATAATAGTGATAAATGTAATAATAACGAGAATAATAATAATGATAAACCTACTACTACTACTACTACTACGACTACTACTACTACTACTACTACTACTACTACTTCTACTTCTACTTCTACTACTACTACTACTACTACTACTGATAATAACAAATACATAATATTACTATTAATACTGCAAATAATGAATAGCAAACACAATCGTAAACAACACACATACCATGAATAAAAAAAATGCACACACCCACACACACAAATACATGCAAACAAACAAAACATTGAAACATGTGACAAACAAACCAAACAGCCAAGCAACACACAAAATAAACATATATATATATACACATAAGAACAATACACCAACTAATGCAACAACACAACACCCCACATAGACACAAGTCGGCTTCCCGTGGATTTCGTTCCAAGGCGCAGAACTTGCTCATGGCACTCTTGGAGCCCCGGTTCGAGCCATCCCCGGCGATGCCGTCCGCGGAAATGTCCAGGACATCCGCCCCTTTGGCGACCTGCGGAGTCCCCCGTGGTTGTGTTTGAATGGGAAGCCAATGGGAAAACCCCACCTTTTTGGTAGGGTGCCATGGCTTTGCTGCCATTTTTTCAAGGGAAACAACCGGTTTTCCTGAAGCTGATTGAAGCACCATCCTGTCCAAGCGATTTGGAGATACCCAAATCCTCCTTTCCAGAAAGTCCTAAACACAGTGAGTCATTTCACCCAGTCTTCGAATTCCTCCTTATCCTGGGCGGCAATTACCCCTGGCCTAAATATACTGACCTCTTGGTGAGAGGGAGAATACACAGTTCCGTTGCAAATCCAGCATGACATTCAGAGAGTTGATCTGCAATAGGGCAGAAGCTGATGCCTTGCACAGGTCAAGGGGCAATCAAAGCAGACTAACCGCATGTTCTACCCCGTGCGGTTTGGTCATCCTTTCTGAACATGGAGCAACAGGAGTTAAATTGCATCCCTTGCTGATTAACACGCACCCCGCCCCTCCCCCCCAAAAAAAAACGCACTTTTACGAGGAGCCTACTTTTGCGGATGGCACCCCCACGTCAGCGGCCAAGAATTCTTGCTCATTCCCGAGGACATGGGAAAGCTAACGAGTCCCTCATTTTTGTGCGGAGCTTGGGGCTCTTTCCCCATAGCCCTCCCAAATGGACCATGCCGGACATGTTACTACCGAACCTGTGTCTTAGCCCAAACCTGGCATTGAAGTGGTTTGCCAAACCCTATGGCAAAGAATAAAGTGGTTAACAACGCTTTTTGTTACCCACTAACCAAGAGGTTAACTCCACGAAAAACTTAGAAGTGGGGTCTTTCCTACGTTAGATACCACCAAGCTACCTGGCCGAAAACTCAACAAACAAATGGAGTTGAAGCCATGGCTAAAACGAAAACTCACCCAAATCCAAGGACACCAAACGGGACTCTCCTCCAACTTCCCTCCATTTGCGTGCTTCGACCAAAAACCAGTTGTGATAGATTCCCTCCAAAACCAACAGGGGAATATATAACACACATTCCTCAGCAGAAAGACTTACCCGGGCTTTGATGACCCTCAACCAACAAACAACAACATCAGCATATGGGAAACATACCCAGGTTTTGACTATGAATCAAGCTCCCCCAGCGCTTCCCTTCCCTTCGGCCCCGACCGCCCGGTCCTCTGAGGCACAAAGCTTCAGGGCCTTGGTCAAGGCGTTGGCGCCGCCCCCCGCCTCAAAAGCCGCGTGAGCGAGGTGGGAGCATGCGCACAGCCTTGTGACGCAATCCGTGGGGATCGAAAGGCAGAGATGGGTATCCCTTTGGCTGCCAGGCCCAACAAGTGCCCAAAAGAAAACTAGCACATGCCCAGGTCAAATCTGAAAACCGTGGAACCTTATGGCGAATGTCCCTTGGGTGTCCAGTCAACACATCCCCCCAAACAGAGCAAAGACGACCCCGAAGCACATCTTCGTTTTCTCGCCTCCCGTTTAGCACCAACTGACAAGGGCCCCAATTCTATCTCAATAATTGCTCTCCAACATTTGGCACATGCTTAGATTCTGGCAAACCCGTTTGTGAACCGAAAAGCGACAATGCATGAACTGATTTGTCATTTGAGAGGTCCTAGCTTTTCCATATCAATATTTTTCAGAATGGCTCGCACCGGCAAATGCTGTTAGATGCAAAGGAATCGCCCTGAAACCACTGGAATCCCATCCTATCTTCAATTTTGGCATGCTTGGGATTGTTAGCCATAGGAATCTGTGTTGACCAACCCAACAACTTTCTCGAAATGCATTCGTCATGCTTAGCCATCGCCGCGTTGCTGTTTTCCTGAGTTCCGCCTTCATCAATGGTGGTTTGGATTGTTGGTGGGATTTGAGCCTCTGATGGTTTTACTTCCCTCCAGTTTGGTGATTTGACTTTGGAGCTCAAATTTAAGGGGTGCCCCATTTTCCCCCTACAAGAACCCGGGGTTCGATTCCCCAACCACCAATTCAAACCACCAACCGAGGCTTCCATTTGCTTCAGCCCCCTGGAAAAACAAAAAACTAGTAGTGATAGATTCCCTTTAAAACCAACAGGGGGAAAAATATAAATCAGCCAATGGAAAGAGGGAAACCTGAGTATGATCAGTAACTCTGTCCTTGAAATCATCCAGCAACTCCTTGAACTTCCCCGAGGCTCGGGTGCCTCAGCTTCGAGTGGTGCAACTGACATGCAAAACACGCCTGGCCTCACCTGGGAGGTGCTGAGAGCGTTTCCTGGGAATTTGTAACGCCAAGATACCGTTGGGATCTATCTAACATCTGCAAAAGTTGGGATCTTTCATCTGATCTTTTCTGCAACAATTCGGAAGCCTCAAGGGTTGGATTCCCAAGGCCACAATCTACACCAGCTCATTTTACAAGTGAGCTTGCCATACAATAAGCGCCACCAACAGTAGCAACAGGTGACCCTCCCGCTTAAAACCAAATCACAAATCACCTTTAGGCAAACAACTGTATCTGTCACATTTCTCCTCAGGCGCTGCTGGTCTTTGCCCAACTGAGACCACCCACTGTTGCCGTCATGTCAGTAGTCCTTAAAGATCCATCAACAAAAGACACACAAATCCCCTGAAGCACATGGAATTCGAATGAAATTTCGGGCTCCCTGTTGTGCACGGGCGAATTGCCCCCGAAATGGTGGTTCCTTTGAATGTCCAATGTATCTGTGAGAGCCCTGAAATAAACTGATCGTTATCATGTGGCTGCTGACGCGCAACGATTATATTGCCATTGCAAGCTTCTCCGTCGTCCGCGTGCCAAACCGTCCTTGATTTCCTGTCTGCTCATGTTGTGCGATCAATCGAATACAACAAGAGTCGGTAGCTAACAAGTATCATAGGCCAACGACTTGCTGTAGCCTCCCTTGGGGTTGTTTCTCATTTGAAAATAAAGTGAACTTTGGGCCCACTGATGGAGATCATTTGCATGGGCATTGATGTTCGCCCACCATTGTTGAGGGTGGTGGACACGAATACCGAGGTAAATGCAATGGATCCACCAAAGGGTCATGAGTCCGGATGAGTGCTATGTCCTGAGTCTTTCGGGTACGCCCCTTTGTTTGGAGGTGTTTTGAAGGGAAACCAACCCCGGAAACCATAGGTTTGGGAGTGGGTTCCCGCAAAGAAAGACAAAGCTGAGCGACGTTCAACACGTCTTTGTGCCGTGGATACGCGTGCTTACATGAGCACAGGACTAGCTTACATAGTGCGTTGTGGGGGGGGACCTGAATTGTGACTATCTCATTTTAAGCAGAATTAAACTGGTTTGGAACCCTATTCAATGTTGACCCCGGATTTAGAAATATGGGAGGGGGGTGTCCATCATCACTTTTGGAGGGGAACACCCCCCGATTAGTAAGCATCAGTCAGGTCGCCTCTCTGTGCCACCACGGTGAAGCCGTCCACCTTGTGGCTCTCGTGCCCTGAGACCCACAGCCGCTTCTGCCCGGCGGGGCGCGCCCGCACTGAGGCCGCTTTGCCGCACTCCGCCGCCAGCTGGGCGAGCTGCGGCGGGAGGCCGTCCGCGAGGCCCAGCAAGTTGGGCGGCTCCTTCCAGTCCTCAAAACCGCAAGCCGACCCAAAAACGGCAAAACACAGGCGGTGTACGAGGCCCAAGTACATTAGCGAAAAAACCAAAGATGCACACTCCATACCAAAAACAGGCTTTTCTATCATCAGCTATGAAGGTCTTCCTTGCCTCATCAGCCCTTCAGTCCTCAGAATGAGAGAAAAACAAGCAATCTTGCTGAGTCTAAAACGTAGTGTTGACCAACAAAGGGACCGGTTCCTAATTGAGGATTGCCTTTCAGCAAGTCCAGATTCAGGCGTCCCTTGACCCGTGGGTTCCTGATTTCGATTGTTTCTGGGGGGTTGTCAAGGTTAGACACGGTAAGAGGGGCTGACAACCAACCACTTAGGGAAGTAACTTTGAACATGACAACACTTTGTGGGGCCAGAAAATGGAACCTTGCCCTTTGTCAGGGGGCCCCTGTACGTCCCCGTGAAACATCACCCCACTTCGATAAACGCTGGGAGTGTTGCTCCTCTACAGAATAACCGATTCCCACAAGAGACTCAAATGGCTCTGTTTCTACCCTTAAGAAGCTCCCTTGAATTTCGTGTCCCCTTTCCGAAAACAACCCCAACCCCAGCTCCCCCCCCTCCCAACCCCACCCCCCTCCCCAACCCCCCCAACCCCCCCGTCACCCCCCACCCCCAGCCCCAAGGCCTCGCCTTGGCGCCGTCCGCCTTGAGCCCCACAAAGGTCTCGCACTTCTCCAGCGCCCCGTAGGCCTTCGCCAGGCTGCCCGTGCCTCTCACGGGCGCACACGCGCGGCGGGTTGGACGTCCAACGCCGACTGGAAACCTGGACCCGCAAACTTCGCCCCCCCCCCCTCCGCAAAAAAAAAATGATAGAATGACAGAAGAAAAAAAAACAATAATAGGAAATTGCCAACCATCAGTTTGACCCTCAACATCCAACAAAAAATGGGACACCAACCAGCTTTTGGAGCAATATCCTTTTTGAAACGGGAAGTTTGAGGGTCCAGGTTTCCTTTTTGGGATGGTGATGAAGGAAAACTAAAGGAACCCCATCAATTTTGAGGGTCCCCGAATTTTTGGAGACAAACGCACCTGGGAACTGGGCTGGCTTCCTGATGGCTTCGTTTGGAAACCGCCCAAAACAGGGGTCCATCGTTTTGACAAACACCCGTGATTCTCGGTTGCGCTCCAAGCCCAGAACAAAAAGTTCGTTAGACCTGTTGCAGGTACGGACAAGCCATTTGTCAACCAAACGGTCACACCAAAACCAGCTAGGGAAACTTGGTTCGTGTCAATGAACCACATTCTTTGGACCACCCTCCATCCTTTGTCTTCGCGATGGGGTTTCCCTACATCAGCCACCCAAAGGATACTCTTTTTCCCCCTGGCCACAGGGTCTCTTCGGCCGCACAGAGGGGTCTGTCAGGCTGCGTTCGTCTTTCCTTTTAGGCTTGCGCACTTCCCAGCTTGGAGGGTTCTTTCAACACCCGCAACAAGAAGTCATCGATCGTTCGGAGAACTGCATTGAAAAACGCCGGGGCTTGGGGTGGAATTCACCGCATGACTCGATTTGTTAGTCAATCGCGGCTTCAGCGTTTGCAACACTTGTGCTTCGGCAGACTGGACATAAGTCACAAGTCACCTGCTGAAGTCTACCCAAAACCCTGCCGCAACTATTGATGGGACTCTCCTCTACACAATTTTAACTACACTTCATCAAGGCTCCCGAGCTCGATTCGACCCCGTGAGCGCGGTGTTGGGCCGAACTCTTGTTGCCCTGCGTTTCAAGATCTTTCAATACGTTCAAGCACGTTTAGTGGTTTCCCTCTTGAAAACGCCAGAAATCTGTCAACATGTCAAACCAACCCTGGTTCACACCCACAATTTGCGTCTCTTACGCCCCAATTTCGCACCCACGCCTCCAGAAATGAGGCCCACGGCCAGTGGGCGCGCGTGCTTCACGCTCACATAGAAGGCGTCTGGGGTCTGCCCGCCCAAGGTGCCTTGGTGCCCAGATACCCAGCCGCACCTGGAGCTGATGGGAGATACCATGGGTCATTTCCAAGACTTGGGATAGAAGTCGACTTTTGAGGGAATCCAGCTAAACTAAAATGGAACAAAACAGCACCTCTGGAGCTAAGAGCATAGGACATACTACCATGGGTCCTGTCCATGACTACTTTGTCACTTGAGGTACTCCCTCTTGGTATCACAGAACGCGGCCCCTCAAACCCCATCCCCCACAATCGCGCAGCATGTATTGCAAAACAAAACAAAAAAGTTCTCACAAACAGGTTGGGTATGACCGATACGCATGGTGCGAAACAAGATGCATACATACACCAGAGTGCCGAAACCATCGCAAAGCAGCCAAGGTGCGGCTGGTGGCGGGGTCGACGATCACATTGATCACCATGGGCGGCACTCGCTGCTTCACCTGAGCGGTTGCTGTTCCGGTGTTTGTTGGGGCGGAGTGTTGTGCTTGATTGTTGTATATGATCTATCTGGAGCAACAAGCACTGTTCCTGTGTTGTTTTGGTTGTTTGCCCATGTGATGGCTGTTGTTTTGGCGCTGGTGTGGGGCGGCAAAAAAACACATGATGCACACCAAGAATGTTTGGGAAACAATGGCACCTAATTTGTAGAAACCCAAAGGTAACAAGGCAACCCACCATTTTAGGGGGGGGGGGGGGCACGATTTTGGGAAAACTGATATTTCCCTCTCAACCATCACCCCACAAGAAAGAAGCTCACTTCAAAGTGGCCCAACAGGTGATATTTTAAATCACCTTTCAAAATTGAAAGAGACATATTGGGAACCCTGCCCTTTGGGCTGAAAAGTGATGAACCACCAGTCCTTCCACCGTGGTTTTGCAAAATATATCCCGCCTGGCCCCCTTTTTCAAGCATCAGTGGACCCTCCATTGGAGGGGGCTGAATCTCCATTGGAAGATTTGGGACGTCACATAAGTCCTGGTTTCAGGTTCCAAGATGCTCAGGGGGCAAGGAATTGATATTGCTCCAAACGAACGACATGAAGTGAGGCTGATGGAAGCGAATCTTGTGTTTCCCGAAGCTTTCGCATACCAAGAGGAGTCAAGTGGACTTTGGGGCGGGTCTGCAAAAAGACGGGACCACCAAGGAGTGGGTGGTTTCCGCTGGGTCTGCACACCTGCCCCCAAGCCCCCATTTTAGGCCACCCACAGTTCACTCAAGATGTTGCCCTTGGCTACGTCTATGTCACTCCCTCTGGGATACTTATTCACCAACCCCATTTCTTATTCGGGGGTTGTCTCAAAATAGGGAAGACCAAAATAAATGTCCCTCTGGCTCCAAATCCACAAAGGGTGCTCTCAACCAAAAAAACAAACAGACAGACTGACAGACAAACAAACAAAGAAATACATGTCAGAAATAAACAAACTGAATGAAACACAAACAAGCGCAAATGGACCCTCACAAACGAAACCAGAACATGGGTGAACTTGGTGGCAAAACATCATTATCTTTCGTGAAGTGGGTCGTTTTCCTTTACTCACTATATTTCGGAGACCTGGTCGGCGGTTGGAAGCGGACACCAAGAAACCGTTGCCAAAAGGGTGTCTGCAAAAAACAGGGCGAGCTTGCAATACCTTATGGAAATCCACCACCCCGTCTACCCGGACTCCAAGCCAAGCGGAACGTTTGCGCCCCCAGCTGTCTCATGAAATTTTAATTAACTCCCAAACCACTATCTCGCAGGGGGAGATCCGGGTATATACCACTTGTACAGTGTCTCTACAGTTGCATATCCAACTAAACCCCTGGAGGAGGTGGGGGTGTAACCCTGCACCATGTTCCTTCTAGCTTTGAAATCGCTTTCCATCGGATACCTACACCAACCCAGCGCATCGACCCTTTAACCATTAAGAAAGGTGTTTGGTTGGTAGGTTGCCATCCTTCTGGCTTTCTAGGTTTACCCCCAAAAAATAAACAACCGTCCTTGGTTTTATCTTCTGGTTTCCAGGTTTTGTAGGTGAGTTTGTAGGTTCCCCTTCCGGTTTTGTAGCTTTGCCTCTAAACTCGCCGGCTCAGTTGTTCAGTGACCCTGGAAAAAAAGGGAACCCTTTGTTGGGAAATGCCATTTTTAGCGGGGCAGCCACCAAAAAAAGGTTGGAAACAGAATTGGTGCCATCACCAAAGGGCAAAAGGTGAAAACAGGGAAAAAGGAAAAAGGGAAAAAGGGGGAAAAAAAAACAAAGGGAAAAAAGGGAAAAATGGAAAAAGCGGGAAAAACGGAAAAAAGGGAAAAAGGGAAATGGGGAACAAGTGATCCGGGCATCTCCGACCCAACAGCCCCCAGTCTCCGACCGTGGCCTGGCGGTAGACTTCCCCGGCCGCGTAGATGGCCGCCTTGGCGCGGCGAGCATCGGCCACCTGCAGGGTGGATGCGCGGCATTTTGGGCATTCTGGCATTAGCCGCCCATTTTTCTATGGTGTCCCTTCAAAATCCGCCAAAAACGGGGCTCTAGCGAAAAAAAAACACTCTAGGGGTTGATTCCAACCATTCTTTTCAACCATCGTTCTTTTCGAGAGCCGGCCGTGTTCCATGGGTTTAGTGAGGATTTTTTGGAAAGAAGGATCCTAGAAAGAAGGGCAAAGGTACCCCTAGAATTTTTAATGATCGGGGCCCCGGCATTCGGCTAAACAGAAAGACCCCTCAAGACCCCCGATTTTGTAGTTCTTCCTTTTTTGCGTGAAAAACCCTCCCACCAATTGACTTGCATCCGGACGTTCACAATTCCCGTTTACAGGAAAATGGTCTGACAGGACCCCGTTGTCAGGTTCCATGCGAATTGGTGCGAGGGTAGTTGGGAGCTTGGCACGTTTAGCCCCGTTTCTCCGATCAAGTCGAAATTGGACTCTGGAATTACGCCCCCAAGGAAAACCTGGTTGAAAGGAGACCTGACGGTTGAAGCTTGTGTTGAGCAGGTTAACAGCTACAACCCCGCTAAAGTGTTGAAGGGAAACGTAGATTTGACTTTCAAGGGCAGACAACAGGTTGTTAATCCCCCCAATTCAAGGCACACTCGAGGACCCTTGTGCTGCATCGGTGCAAATAGCCTCAAACCAAGCAGGTGGATTGCCCTGCCATATAGCAAGCAACCATACTGAACCACAAAACCATGGTAAATCACTGACAGAAGTTCTAGAGTTTCCTCGTTCCCTCGAGCTATATCGCGCATCTACCATCAATAAAACACAGCGGCCCCCCCAATTGGTCCATCGCCTCCAGTGCCAACAGATCCACGCCACCCTCCACCAGGCCCTTGATCTGTTCGCTGTAGGCCTCTACCTAAGGACCGACTGGGGAAGAGGGCCGGGGCTTCACGCACCTTGCCTCGACCCCAAAATGGGCAATGGGCCCCATGTGACCTCCCTGGCAGGGGCTTTTGGGCGGGGGGGCGGGGGGGGCAAATTTCCATGCTATTCCTAGGCCCAGAAGCCAAGAAGCCCTTAAGGCCTTAGCTGATAGCCCCTCCCCATAACCAGCCTTTGGGGCTGAAAAGAACGCAAACAAAAAGACCGAACCATGGGAAATCGCCGGCCAGAATCTCCGAGTTGGGAAGTTTGAGGGTCCAGGTGAATCGCCCATGTTCCCCCGGCTTAGACCATGGGCCAAGGTTCTCATGGGCTATTTGTTGCATGTTTGTTGTGTGCTAAAAAAGCATGCACGAAAGAAAGGACCCTGTGGATCCAACTTACGTTTTTGTCGCAACCTGCTGGCATCTCCAACCGACTCCGGAACCGAGGCGCCAGGTCATCGAAGTCCAGCCGCACCTTGGCCTCCCCCGCAGATCCAACGAGGCCCGCCACCAGCCGCGGCTTCTTGGGGTCCTGTCGCGTCACCTCCGCCGCCGCGCGCTTCGCCAGCTGCGCTGCGGCCTGGCGAGAGTCGACCGCAAAGCAGGCGGTCGGGTGCGATATGTAGGGAATGAGTTGGAATGAACTGTTTTGGGATTTTTTAGGAAACCACAGGGGATGGTTCAATAGGGAATGCCCCCTCATGACTCATTCCCTACGCGCCAGCCAGTAATTTGGCTTCGGGATTTGTGGCCCCCTCTTTTGGCTTGAAGGGCAAAAAGGCAAGGAAGTCAAGCAGGATTCAACCATATGGGTGGTTTGGGTTTAGGTGCTCGTGTTTGTTTCTTCTGTTGAAGTGGAACCTACAAATTGCGGGTCAACCTTGTTCATCGCGATGTCACACAATAGGTTTCTATTCCGACTGAACAAAGCAGGGGGTTTATGAATTGCCATAGCTCCAAAGCTCATACTTGAAACATACGCTTGAGTTGGTGGGTACAAAAGGTTCGAACTGGTGAATTATTTGGCTCAAACTGGCAACTCGGTTGAAGCCTGTACAACTGACAACCTGCGAATTGGTTCCAACTTGCAAATAGAGTTGGTTCAAGGTTGGCGGTTCAAAGTGGCAAGGCTCAAGTTGGGTTCAAATTGAGTGGGTTCAACTTGATAATTGATTTGGGTTCGAAATTGGTGGCTTCAGTTTGCAAGATTGGTTGATTGAACATTGGTGGATCCAGCGAGCAGCACTGGTTGGCTCAATAATGTTGGCGAACTTGGATAATTTAATGTTGGTGGTTCAAGTTTATAAATTTGGTTGGTTCAAGGGTGGTGGCTCAAAATGCAAAACTAGCTGGCTAAAGACTCGCTCATCGAACATGGCAGCCCACACTGAAACCTATTCGACTAGAGGTCACAGAAAAACAAACAGAATATGTTGCCATGGTCCAAACGAGCAAGGCTTGCTCGTTAGCCCAAACTCGAGGATTAGCCATTGATCTTCTGATAGGGCAGGAGGCGCTAGCGATATTTCGATGGCATTGTTTGAGACGCCTATCTAAAAGGTTGACATATGGATACACACAGCATAGTTGGCATCTGCACAAAAATGGCCTATGTATCAGTCCAGGCACATACAGTGATAATTCATCTTGCATTGGGGGCTCGACATAGTGCAGTGACAGTGCTTTGTGTTCTCCGTGATGGTAATTGGTTCTGTGCACGAGAGGCGCAGGACCTTTGCAATCAGCTTGGGTCTTGTCAAGTCAACAGTCCATCGATGTTGTCAAGTCCATGGAGGGATACCTGTACATAGGACGCACAAGCTTGGCATACCCTGGATGCCCCAGACAAGCCGAAACATTGCAAGAAGGGAACAAGGGGAACACTGTAAATCCCTGTGGTTTGTGGTTGGTTTACTTGCAATGTTTAAACAGTGCCTCCAAGAGACCAAACAGACCTACACTTTTTGGAGGCCACAGTCCACAGTGGTCCGATCTTCGCTTAGAAAGCATAGCTTTGAACCTTCCAACGAAACTGAAGTGCCATCTAATCATTGACAGGCTTATGTAGGCTTTGCTGTAACCCCAACGAAACCGAGTAGAACCACCCACTACGGCATTTATCCGTGATGGGCGCTCACCTGGGCTAGGCTGAAATGCAATGGGCGCCTTGTTCATCTCGCTGACCAGCTTTGTCGTCTTGTAGTCCTTCTGGTCGATCGAGTTGGCCCGTGCCGTGTTCGTGCAGCAAATGTCGGCCCCGGATTTCAAGTAGTCCTGTGAACTGAGCCAGGTCCGGGGGTCGAACGCGTGAAGTTGAGGCCACACAAATGTTAAGCTGATCCCAAAGCAAAATCCATGGCTCGGATTGGCGGTGGGGTTCAGGAGTGGTTTCCCATTTACCCTGAACAAAGGCCTGTGGGTCGAATCCCAAACCAATCAAAACCACCAACGATCGATCTTCTTACCAGTCTACGGTGGATGCCCGAAACGTTGAGGGAACAAGGAAACACTCTAGTTTACCAAGGTTTACCTTGGTTGTGTGGTTGAGTATGGTTCACGTACTTGCATGAAGTGGGCTGCGTTCGATAAGGCTTGTCTGTTTTGGAGTGGGGTTGGTCTGAGGGGAAAAAAAGGCAGCCAAAGCGCATGTTGGCTCGGAAATATAGAACCCATCTTAAAAAAGTGAAATATGGATGTGAGTTTGATGGAGGACTCTTTGGGAGACATCATTTCGGTGGAGATTCATGTCCGCCAACCACTTGCGAGGTGGTTCCATCTCTCAAAAAGCATAGCCATACATAGCCATAATTTTCTGGGAAAGTTGTTTTGAGCAAACGCACAACCCTATAAAAGGGGGCCCCAACCCACCTCCTGATAGGTGTCCTGCTTGCTGTCTGGTCCAAGCATACAACACCCTTCTGGGATACCCCGCAAAAAAGGGTACATCATCCTTGGAGGACTCAAGAAAGCCAGTCCAGCAGTTGAAGGAGGAACCAAATGTTGATCCAACTTTTTGTTGAAGCCAATGTTGGTATCCAACTTGTTTGATTCCACACAGACACATCCATTGGCGTACCCATTGGCAACCCCAGGTGAGTCATAATCAAAACCTAGTACCAAAACGGTGCACCCCATGTAAAGAATTAGCAAGGCGGCTGCACACATTTATGCTTGGGATTCTCACTTACTAACCTTCATCTACCTGGGTTTTGAGCACGCGGCTCAGGTCCTTACCCCCAGTGAACATCCCAATCCCCACTAAAAGAGACTAAAATGGGTGGCGAATTCACCTACCCCCAAAATGGGATCCCATTAAATTTGACAACCACAGCCAAATCTGCTTTTACCACAGCCAAATCTGCTTTTACCACAGAATCTGCTTTATGGTTGGGATTCTCCCTTGCTAACTTTCATCTACCTGGGTTTTGAGCACGTGGCTCAGGTCCTTATAGGTGTCCAGCACCAGCGTGGGCTTCGACAAACTCAGCAGCTCCACGTTGCCCAGCTGTGGCGCGGAGTCCCGCAGCACCTTGGCGCGCTCGCCCCGGAAGTCCGCCTCCGAGAGGCTGGCGCTCCTGCGCTTCGATCTGGGTTCACTGGGCTGTCCGTTTTCTGATCCCCTAAAAGTGACTCACTTTTAGTGGGTTAAATGACGCTAAAAGGCTAAAAAGCCAAGGGGATGGCTGGGAACCACCAAGATAAACTTTCACCAACCTGAAGCTTGCAGTGGTTGGCTTCGCTATTCCCCACATAAACCACCATTTGGGGTGAGGTCGTGTGAGGTCGTTATACATTCACCCAGTTCAATGGTCGGTGCGAACACCCGGCGGCTTCGACCGGCCAGGAAAAATCGGTTTCGGGCTTTGGGAATGAACCGGAAAAGGATCCAGAAGGAAACGACAAGCATGGTGCAGTTTGACAGCACGTGTTTTGGTTCCAGTGGTCCAAAGTAACACACACCTTTTTACAACTAATGCTGAGTCCTCTTGCGGTCCACGGTTGTTCCGCGTGACTGATATAATCATTATCACAAAGACTGGCCCCAACGACTGTTTGTGCACAACCATGAAAACGGCATCCAACAGGTTGGCTTTTTATTTCAGAGCTCCT